ATCAGGCAAAGCTACAAAGATGTTTAGTGGCTAGTGCTATGGTCGGGACCCTGAGCATTATCTGTGGCTATAGAGTGGCTTTTTGGTTGAGCACGTGGCTCTCTGTATTGCTATCTGCGGTTGTTACTAAAATTGTTATAACTAGAGATGCAAGCGGTCGACAATATTCATCTTTCGACGAGGTGTCTAACTCCGTGTTGCGGTGTATTTGACACTTACTTAATTTTTCGCCGGAATATCCCTTTAAGCAACCAGTAGATGGGAATAACTTAAGTCTCTGTAAAATGAGCAGTTGTTTTGATACCTCACTGTCAACCCTACCATAGGCTGAGCTCAATGAGGGAACAGGCAGAATGGTGATAATAGATGGTGCTTTAAAAAGCTACACATCTGAGCAGAAACTGCATGTTTCTGAACGGAATTAAATGCGTTTTATATGCTGGTGCAGTTTATAATCCAGATTCACAGTTGAGTCATTAAATGTGACCAAACTGAAAATGTAGCTTTAAACTATATTTGCTCAGCGCTTATTAGCTAATGTGAGGATGCTGACATGCTGAACCAAGTTCAAGTTAAAGGGAACCACTTCAGCCCAACACAAGAATAAAAGAAATTAATTAAAAAAAAAACATACAAAGACATGAGAAAAGGCCCAAAGGGAATAGCCAAACCGACCGTTCTCTGTAGTTAGTTAAATATACTTTTGTCTATCCATCCATCTATATATTCATCTTTCCAGACTAAAGACTTCTTATACTCTCTTGTGTCATTTACCAGTTCACTGCTTATGGTTTATAGTGAATCCACCATGGTCCAAACACTCTCTGCTGGTTGCTGGTTGTGGTTGAATAAATAAACAACACTGGACAACTTCCACCACCACCAAACTGATCTTATACTGTGGGACCAAGAAAGTGAACTAGATTTTTCTGGTTTTTTTTTACCCACAATCACAGCCATAAATGAAGATTGAACAATATTATACAATTTAATGCTTCTGTACAGTACAACTACACAACACTTCTTACTACAACACAAGATTATTTACTAGCAATTGACAGAGGACTAGCGTAGACTACATATTATTATTATTATTTTTTTTTTTTATGGTGATTGTTTATCCCTCACTCAGCTCCACAGCCACCCTCACATCCAAATATGGTCACTTTCAGCCTAAGAAAACCAACAGTGCGGCAGCCAAAACATCGAACTTGATGCTACAGTGAGGCAGTCTTTGGTGACACTAGCATTCAGCCCCACAGAGGCAATAATGTTGCTTTATAGCTTTGTTTATGTATAGTTTCAGGGAGGTGTGTTGGTCATAGCTGAGAAGCTTAAAGCTAATATAGCAAGAGGTCCAGTGTGGTTGAGACAAACATTGGAGAAGACATTTGTTGAGTGCCCCCTCCTTTATTTTCCTCCACCCTCACCCTTGCTTTCTATGGGTGGCTGCTTCAGTGCTTCAGGTGTTCCACAGTTGGGCCATGTGATTAGTTTAATTTGCACAAACTCCACACCTGTTGCCCCTGCGCTGCCTGCAGCCGCAGACCCTCAGCAGGCTGACAGGCCTTCCCTTGGATAATCCAATCCCCTCAAACTGACGTCGCTGCTTTCCACCAGCGCACAACAAGGGCATTTGTTTTTCTACCTCTTGTCTGCCTTCATGTTCTCACGGCCACCAAGCTCCTGATGGCTCATTATTAGACCATTCATAAACACACACCAGGGTCCACCTCTGTGTTTTTTTTTTTCACCACTGCTGCTGTTTTCCTCCTCTGTCCCTCACCAGCGCCTTCCTTTACCTGTCACTAAGGTGAGAGAAGCTTTTCCTTTAGGTTCAAAAGAGGCACCACAGCCTTTCACATGACAGCCCTCCAGTATCCACATACTCCATTTGGATTTGAAACAGCGCCAGGAGAAAATCAAGTGACACAGGCCACACAGAGTGGGAGGGTGGGTGGTGGGAGGGAGGGAATGTGATCCCACTTGATTGTTGAGAGTTTATATAGCGAGTGATGACAAAGTGCTTTATGACTTTGCAGTGTTTGCTGGGCCCTGCGATTGAAGCCTTATACAGGCAAAGCCCCCTGGTGACCTTGGCTTGTCAAATGTTCTCATTTTCACCAGGAAGGAGCCAGTGTTCAGAGGCTGCTCACAACTGGTGAGCTGCTTTTAGAGAGACAGGCGCAGAGAGCTTTGGAGGTGACCCATGCTCCCTGACTTTCACTGCTGAGAACATTAAGGAGGGAAAACAACAGTCAGGGAAGGCCTCAGGCAAACCAGCACACCAAATATAAGCCTATGGTTTCAATTAAATACATAAAAACTCACTTTTAGCTTTTAATCAAGACTCTCCTACTGTACTATCAACCCCGTGAGGCTGCATGGTGGGGCTTTGAGTTAAATTCAGACAGCATGATATTTCCCTTCACAATAACAAGACCCACCTTTCCCTCCCTTAAGTAAGCACATACAAGTCATAGGCATGGTAGCTTTTATTCTTTTATTGTCTGTATTTTATTCCTCTGTTTTTAATTTTATTATGTTATTGTTATCTATTTGTTTATTTCTTTTATTTATCATATATACAGCACTTTGATTGCTGTCTTCTTAAAGGTGCTTTACAAATAAACTTGACTTGATTCAAAGTACAACTTAATTCTGGTTAAGAATTATTGATTCAACAATATTGCGGTCAGTTATGGACAAATTAAAAAGCAAAAGGTCAGTTCTCAATCACTAATCCACCACTGTCAGCTCAAATCACACCAAAAGAAAAAAATCATGTTTGTGACAAATTGAAGACAATCAGCGGATGTCACTTGGATGGTGGAGCAGTGAAAAAGTTAGCTAATACCTAACATGGTGGGTACATCCTCCGAGCACCTTAATATCTTGCAGTGCACATGTCAGATCAGAAAGTATTGCATTAACAAGCTGCCAAATTTGCAGTGTTCTGTAAATCCCACCACTAAAATGAGTAAAAACTCAACAGACCCCAAAAGGGGAGGGTATACAAGAAAAACTATAATGCTGGACCTGGATTAGGACATCTTGAAGAAAGACAGCTTGCAGATTTTCACTACAGATGGTGATAACATCAGTCCAAACAAGGATTCCCGGGGAGTAAAAGGATATTTCCAGAGGGGCAAAATCAACCACTGGAGCTCCACAAACCCTGTCACACATCAAGTATTACATCAGATCGCTCCCAGCTGCATGCCACATGCATCTTATCTCACAGAGAACAGGAAGGAGAGGCATTTTATCCTCAGGCCTCTTTTTCCTGCATCACCCATGACCTTTACTGTGCAAATTATTACAGGACACTTCCCCTTAAAGAGAGGTTTTGAAGGGGAAGCCATGAGAGGAGGAGTTTGAAGACTGAATCTAGGTCTATGTTGCACAAGTGTGAACTGCTCTGAGTCAATGTGATGAGGAAACAAAAGCTGGACCTGGATCAAGGCTCAAGGACTCAAGAAGGAGTTTTAAATGAGTAAAGATGATGATGCGTGTGTGTTGTAGACAGAGTCACGCTAGCCTTCTGACTGGCTGCTATGGGCTAACAACCCTTGCATTGATCCAAGGAGACACTCAGCCCTCTAACCTGCTGAGTGCTCAGTTCCACTGAACAATGGAGTTCAGTGCGCATCGATACACTACCCTATTGAGTGCTCTCCGTTTAGCAGCAAGATTGATGAGGTTAAGGCTCCCAACCGGGGAGCCAAATGGTGTCAAAACCAAGGTGTTGCTTCGGACAAACAATCCCTCACTGGATTGCCACACAGAGAGGGCACTGGTTACTGGCTACTGCACCAGCTCTAGCCAGGAATTGAATTCATATTGGCACACGGTTTCTAAAATGACATGCAGACTGAGGTGGTGGTGGTGGTGTGAAGACTTGAAAATGCAGATGAGAATATGAGGGGAGGATAGATGGTGCATTCTGGACAGGAATGCACTGCAAATCCCCAAAGACGCTAAATGATGTACAAGTAGATTTATTACAGTAGGTCCCTATAAATCTAAGGTTGGCCTGAACTCCAGGGAGAGGTTAATGGATTACAAAGGGATGTGGTATTGAACCTCAGCGAAGTTTATACACCTCATCAATATGTGAAACACTATTGATCACTGAGACCTTGATAAATTGAATTCATACAGTTGATAATGCATGACAATTTTAGGAACGTCCAGGGTGAGGGGATGAGTTTCTAAAATCTGCTTTTTCAGGAGGAGGATCTTTGAGTTGGCATGACTGGAGAATTTGAAGCCTGGTGCAGTTTATGTTTTGAACAGTGCTGTTCATGCTGAGAACCTGAAGACCGAAGCAGGACCTACTGAGTGATTTCTCAAATTTACTGACTATGCCAACAAACAACTAAGAATACACACTAAAATGAACAGGCTGCATGTTTTTAAGAGCAATGATTTTACAATGTCTAGTATCAGTTTAAGCAATGAAACCTTCACCTATAAGATAGTTGTACTGCTTCATCAGAGCACACATGCAACCTTAAAGTCCTGTGAGAAGTTCTTCGCTGGATTAAAAGCCCCTCTTTTTACGACTAATTTATTCTTAGTTCATATTCTTCCAAGCAAACTTTGAAAGTCAAAAGTCTAACGATGAGCATCTGGGAAAGACAGGACACATTTGATTGTTGTAAGAAAAGGCAAAGATAGGCCTAAAAAGCTGCCTCTGAAATACAGTGAAACAAAAACTAAAAAGACTATCATTTCTTCAGTTGAGGTAAAATCTTGTGGAGTCATCTCTAATTCTCTGTGGCCTAACATGTGGTAAGAAGTCAAGCCTTTTCTACATTCACAAGGAGCTTTAAAACTCATGAATGAGAAATAGACTTTAGTCATATAGCACCTCCTTTAGTCTTCCCAGCAACTAAAAAAGCTTCTACATGACACATGAAATCACCTTTTTTTACGCTGCTATCAAACATGGGTGGTATAAGGTGCTCTGTGAAGTGCCCATCAGTATTGACAAATCCCATTCACGTGTGTTCACAGGGAGCCATGGCCATGTCACAGGGAGCAATCTGGTATTCAGTCTCGCCCAAGGACTCGACAGAATGCGGGATTAAACTGCAAACCTTCAGAGTAGGAGATAGCAAACCATACAACTGAGCCACAGCTGCCCGTAAATGGTCCATGTCCCTTTTTCTCCAGTGCATCCACCACGGTGACACAAGATAACTGTGTTTAGTCTCTGCTGTTGTTACTGCGCACCATCCTTCTCCTCTTTCTGTTCACACATCTCAAGCTTATTATTTATGCTGTTGGATTGAGCAAAAAGCAGTTGAGGATAAATCATTTTCAAAAATCTCTGAAGATATTATCTGGGTGGAAAAGGAAACCCCATTTGAGTCATACTACAGAAACCAAGACACACAAGTGCAATCTACCCACAGGAACAAATAAAAACTTAAGAGGTACAGTGTGGAACTGCGTCACTCGCTCATTTTCATCCAGAAAACTGAAAACAGGCTGAAAGTCCCTGCCCTGTCATGCTTTCTGTAAATTTAGTTTTGGTTACTTCACCATGCTGTGTAAAGTTGACTCAAAAGTACTGTGGGACCTTCATCCCACACAGATACAGAGAGCACTGCTGCTGACATCATCCAAGCCAAAAAAACAGGAGCTCAGCAGTCACACACTCACTGCTCTGACCTACAAATGCTTTTATGATTCACAGGCTTTGGGATTTGGGTCAATTGATATTCAGAAATACTGAACATGTTTTCAAATGCACATTCCTAAAGCTACTCAATGTGTGACAATTTTAAAAGTAAAGTACTGTGATTTGTGTATTCTCTGATATGTCTGTGTTTTGTTTTTTGTTGTATTACACCCTGATTTCTGCCCCACAGGTTAAAGTCATGTAGAATCAAAATTTTTTGTTGTTTAGTTTAGTTGTTTAAAAAAAAAAAAACTCAGTAAAAATTAAGATGGATCCACACCAGCTTGAGATAAACCAAATTTATTACACATATGTACACTTACAATTCAGACTGTATCAGCAGTCTACATCAAGGGCCAATCAGTGACCCCTCTTAAAATGATCTGTCTCTCTACATACTGCATTGTTGTCTCATCATTCAACAATTTTCAACAAAACTCAATCAAAAAAAAAAAAAAGGAGAGAAAGTTCATTTTTTGGACAAGTGTCACACAGAAATGTACTTTTCCTCTCTACCTTTTTTTGTTCCTATGAAGGCCATGTGACGGAGGTGGAAACGACTCGAGAGCTGATATCCCTTCTTCTCACTCGTGGACTCTTCTTGTTAACTGGAGACAGAGTGAGTAATTCAATAAGTCAAGTATTCATTTATTACTTTCCTTTTCAATCACGGGGCATTTTTTCTACTTCCCCCAAACCACCTCCACAATGAAAGAGAGAGAGAGAGAGAGAGAGAGAGAGAGAGAGAGAGAGAGAGAGAGAGAGAGAGAGAGAGAGAGAGAGAGAGAGAGAGAGGGAGAGAGAGAGAGAGAAAAGATACGAGTTCTGCAACTTCCATCCATGCCAGCCCTCGACGTCTCACTGCAGCTTAATTACAAAATATTGTCGCCGTTTTCTGTAAAGATTACTCACTGTGGGAGGCCCTACATAATTTGGACCGCAGGGTTTGTCACAGAAAATAATACAATGCAACTGGGCTTTCTGTATTAGATTTCCGCTTTTAGCCTCCTTGACATTTCAAGCTGCATGAACTAATACATCTGTTATTTGTTGATCATTTGATTATTAACATACTTCACAAACCAAATCAGCTGCCCTGCTGGAGACACAGATACAGCTCAGCAGACAGTCTGGAGTTTTTCACGCCTGCCACAAACAAACACGCGCGCAGGGATGCACAATTCAGCCCTCAGTGAAAAGGGAAAGCAGGGGGAAAAACATTTATCTTCCCCTCCTTTGAGCATATGAGCACTCTGACACCAGAGTGGAACAAAGCCCGTCATCACATTCTAATCTCGAATTTCAGGGCTTTTATTTCACCCAAATGCCACCCTGCTGGCCTTGTGAATTATTGACAGACTGACACCAATGCGAAAGGACACATAAAAGAGGCTAAAAGCTCCGGCCCTGGAAGAGCTTGTCCTCTCCTATTGCCATCAACGGGGAGACAAACTCTGCTAATGCTCTTCTGGAAGCTCACAGTAACTTTGAGGCTGAAGTGGCAACATATGACTCCTGACCTACAGCTGCACTATACAGGAGAGAGAGAGTCTGTGCAGGGCTGCTTTTCTGGTCTGTATCCAAGTCTGAGTGAAGCCACAGTACACTGAGGCGAAGCTGTGAAGTATCTGATCAATTCATGAAAATTAAAAAGTGAAGAGCTACACACATTTAATACTGCATAAGCCTTTAAAAGTCAGTCTGATTTGACTATTGCTCATCATGGCTCCTTCCAAAGAAATGCGACAACATGGTAATTGGCTGGGTATGCAGTCATCTAGTTTGCATGATGAAAAGTAAATCAAGCTGTGTCAACTAGACAATCCAATATTTGTCAGTTTTGTGTCATCTCACTTGCATGTTTGCTCCTTATTTTGCTTAAGATTAACATGTTACAGAACAAGTGGAGACAAACAGAGGAGATTAATAAAAAAAGAGAGAAAAAAACAAACAGAGTAATTTAGAGGAGACAGCAGCAGAATAAAACAAAGCTGTCAGGAGAGAGGAGAAGCTGTGTTTAGAGAGTGTTTTTGTGCTGTCGCCTAATCCACCTCGCTCTCGTTGCTGGCACCCTCGGGTCGCCTCAGTTTCTCCACCTGTTCGTTAATCTGTCCGTCCCCACCTCGCCGGTCCTCGGTCTGCATGCTCAGCCTGTCCTTCTCTTCCTCCTCTTCCACATGATTCACATCCTCCTCCTCTTCTTCTTCTTCTTCTTCTTCCTTTTGCTCCTCCTCCCCCTGCACCTCCATGCGGACCTGGTCCTTCAAGTCCAGAGGCAGAGATGCACTTAGATCCTCAGAGCCTGCTTCGCCATTGATACCATGAGCCCCAACCGGCCCACCCAGTGCATCCTGGGGGCTTTGTTGACTGTCTTTAACGGGGGAAGAGTTGGCGGACTCGTTGCTGACAGGAGAGATGTCGCTGCTGCTGTTGGTGAGGTTGACAGATGGGGAGGTAGATGCAGAAGGTGGCTTAAGGGGAATCTGCCATGAGGGGATCTTGGGAACAGTGGGAGTGGAAGGGAATTGTTTCCTGTAGGGTCAGGGTGGGGTTGAGCAGACAAGAGACAAGAAGAAAAAGAGGCCTGATGAAATCTTCATAGAAATCTCACTGTGATCTGAATATGAGTATGAAGTGTTCCCACGGTGTGAGCAACTATGAGTGGGTAAAATGAGACCAAAAAATTGACACACAGCTTCCCACAGTGGGTGAGAACATACTCTCAATAGTGGTTTATATTCTAACGTGCAGACACACACACACAAAGGACTGGAAGTATTTCTGATAATTACTGAAGAGAAAATGGCATTTCCCCTCAAACAGCCAGATGTTCATCACACCTGGAAAAGAAGCTCCAAGATTTTTTTTTAATTACACCCACTGCAGCTTTTAAGATCAAAAAGACATTGCTGAATCCTAATGTGATAACCACATCTTGGTGGTTTAAAAAAAACAGTTTGGAGATGATTTGGATCATTTGAACAGGAAGGGAACACGTTTAGAGACAGATGGTGATAGAGAGCTTTTATTTTATGATTCAAGCCTTCCCCCAAAAACTCATTTTGAGAGTCAGGAGGAAGTCAAGAAAGCAAATGACAAAGGGATTATTACTGATTAGAATGTACCAGACGAACAAAAAACATGCTCAACCAGACAGTTCTGAGGCAATTTTGGTCCTCGCTGGTTTTCTGATGTACACTCTTACTTGAGGCTTCATTATAGACACTGATACACAATCATGCATACTAATGTGGCCGGCTGAGCTGGGCTGTGCCTGACTGGATTGAGAAATAAAGTTGGGAAGACTCAGGGGATATCAGGGCGTATCCTAAATATCTTCAGAAACAGATACAAAAAAGGTTAAATTTTATTAAGATTTCCAAAAGGCCGAAAGCATCGACATGTGATTGATAGTATCCTCTTTATTTTTTATAGTCATTCCTTTGATTAAAAAAAATATAAAAGTTTAAGAGACTGTAAGTGATCTGTGTTGTTTAAGGTGGGATTTAAAATGAACATCAGTCCAGGATTAAATTTTAGTTATTACAACTGCGTCTTTACACCAGACACTTTCACCAAAGAGCAAACTGCAGCGGTGTCTCCATTCAGCACCTCTCTCAAAGGGCTCATTTGAGGATTGGCTGTGTCACAGTGGCACATCAAATGCCTTTAAAAATCAAAACTTTAAAGAGATAGTCCAGTGTAAATTTCAGTTAAGTTCAAACACACTGTAGCACCGAGTTAGACACCCCCTCTAGAGATGAATAATGCCAACTGCTTGCTTCTCTAGTTATACCAACTTTAGCAACGACCGCACAGAAGCAATACACAGCGGTCTACATCCTCCATGTGCAAACCCCAACCAAAAAGCTAAAGCTGGTCTCTTTGCTAAAGAAATAAGGCAAAGGAAATAAGGTGTTTGATGGCTGGGACCCTATATGTACTGTTGATGAAGTTAGGTGCTGTTCTGAGCATTATTTGTGGCTATAGAGTGGCGTTTTGGTTGAGCATGTGGCTCCTTAGACTGCTGTGTATTGCTATCATGCTATCATGCTATCATTACTAAAGTTGGTATAACCAGAGCAGCAAGCAGTCTGCAACATTTATCTTTCAAGGGGGTGTCTAACTCAGTGTTACGGTGTGTTTGACCATAAATTAATTTTATACTGGAATATCTCTCTAAGACTTTCCAGCTGCTGTGTAATGCACTGTTATATTTAGTATTTGGTGTCAACACGATGGAATAGCAACACGTACATACATACATACATACATACACACACATACATACATACATACATACATACATACATACATACATACATACATACATACACACACACACACACACACACACACACACACACACACACACACACACACACACACACACACACACACACACACACACAAACACATACATAAATAAATAAAAATACTACGCTAAAGTCTCTGAGTAGGATCATGGGATGCAGCTGAAAGCTTTGAAAAAATTAGGTGAGCTCCTCCAGAGTTCTAGTTTCTTAAATCATTGTATTTTGAATCATTTTCTTTCACATTCCAAATTAAGATTCATCCAGGGAGCGGTGCACTGAACGCTTTGCTTATTCTGGTGACACATTTCCTCATGAGATTGATCTTATCCTCTTAACCTGCCGATTTGCTTCTTTTAAAATCTGTCTGATAAGTTCCTGAGTAAGAGCTTCAGGAGAAAAATGATCTGTGCAGTGACAGGTGTAAGTAAAAAGTGGCTAAAAACACATTTTGAATACATGTTAGCTCACAGTGTGTCGATGGAAATTGCTAATCATGTGAACAGTGAGTTATTCCTTTAAAACACTGTCACATTGTTCCAATGGACTAAATCCAGGAACTAAACAGTGCAGGAAAACAGTTAGGCATCTGCCCTTAAACACACACACATGCATACACACACAACTGAACTGTTTAATGTTAGTGGGGTCTGGGGGCTTTGTTACCTGCTGAGCAGTAAGCCCTTCAAAGAGACGATTTCAGCCTTCAGCTCTCCGACTGTTTGACTGTCCAGAACTCGGTTGGTTGAAGATGATGTCTGTAGGAAACACACAAGTGAGACAAACACACAACTGTCACTGACAAACACACTAACATAGTTCAGGTCACATGCCCGGTTGGAACACAAAGTCAATACAGGCCTTTCAGCAACTCCTCCGTGCGGAGTCTCAACAGCACAAAAGAAAAAAAAAAGCTTTGTTAAAAATGGACATGAGCTACAAGGTAAACAAATATAGCAAATGCAAATGCTGAAAGCCACATGTTTTTGTGTAGTCAGGTCATCCATCACCATAACAACCTCAAAACTGCCAACTGCTGGTGATGAGAGCAAGAAGGACAAACAATCTAGCTCTACCCAGTTTTCTGTCCTTTCTGAGTGCAAAGTCCAGTCAGTGTGAATCATGCTGTTTTTACATAATTTTCCATACTATCTAGAAAAGATTAGGCCAGTGTCCAGTGTTTTGGATAATGACTTTGTCTTGAACAAAGGCCACATTCATGAAGGCAGACCATAGCTTAGCAGTTTGTATTGTTCTTTTTGTCTTTTATCAAAGGCATGTTATCGCACAAACCGGTGTGGCATGAAATGCTACAGAGTATTTGAATGGCAAATTGCTGCCAAAAATCTGTCCACACAGCACGTTTTTAGGGATAGGCAGGACTTTGACAGAGGGAGCTGTAAAACAGAAAGTTTAAAGGCCTACAGACAAAACACATCTGATGGTAAAAGTTCATCATTAAACTGCAAAGCAACTACAAAACATTAATAAAAATCTTATAGCAGCACATATGGGGAAGCCCCAGCATGGGAATTTAGACAACCAAGAACTTTAAAATAAATCAGAGCTTGTGAAATGATGAACAGAGTTACACAGTTCCTTTATGTATCTTCTCTTAAATCCAAAGGGTTTTCTTTACTTTTTAGGGAGATTTCTCAAAGAAAACTTGGTTCATAGTCAAAAGCAGCAGTTGTTTTGGTAAACAAACAATTTTAAAAGCCAAACTCTGATTATAAATTTTACTCCCACATGTTGATAAGTGGATATTCTCGGTGTGTATTACTGTCAGGCATTTTTCCTGCAGTTATTAGCTCAGTACATGTCTCTGCAGGTCATCCTAAAGAGATGTTACTCCTGGTGCCTCTCTGATTATTATTACTATAATTGATAGTAACATTTTTATCCAGTTTTATGTTTTACTAGTTTTTAGTAGTTAACTAGTTTCTGAAATAGTGATTCTACTTAGTGATGAAAATTGCTCCTATAACAGTCCAAGCGTTTAAAGTTGCTTGTTAGTGCTAGCTGTCAGCAGCGAGTGTTTCATCTTGACATTGCGACACAAGGCAGATGTGTTCTTGTTGTACTACAGACATGTACAACCACCGTTTTATTCTAGACAGTGTCATCATCACTGAGGAACTTCCTTATGGATAAATGTCGAGCTTGTCAAGCTGGAGCCTTTAGCCACATTGCAGAGTCAAGGCCAGATCCCAGCCATTCTGACTCTGATAGTTGACTGTTGTCTAGCAAACCCACGAGCTGATTAGTTGGCAAACCCCTACCAAAGACACCTCAAAAGTTGACTGTGGAGGCTGAGATCAAACTGCCAACCTCCAGAGTGGGACAAGACTATCACTGAGCCACAGCTACCTTATAAAGCAGTATTATAATTAAGTTACTTCTCCTCATATTTACTATATAATCCTTATAAAAGACGACCAAAATGCACTGGGAATTTTTGTCCAACCTTGGAACTGCAGAAGAGCATAGCCATTAACTTTCACTTTCTTTATGCAGACAATACAGTGTCTTTTCTCACTTCATAACTATGTGACACTTACTGTAGATTTTCTTTTGAAGTTATTTGATTGCGGGTAACAATCCTAGAGCATTCAGCGCAGAGATGCCCCATAAGTTGCGATGTACAGGTGTAGGGACCGTTTTGCAAAGATGTTTGCATTCAGTTGCATGCGACGGTTCTTGCCTGACTTTGGAAGACATCAAAGCAGCTGTGGCTTTAGCTCTCTCACACATGGCTAAACATTGTAGCTGCACTGGCTGCTTGCTTTGAGTGTCATGAATAACACCGTGCTTGACTGATCAATTCATTTAGAAACTCATTTAGAAAATACCTTCTTGTATACTTAACAGAATACAATATACATGAAATAAAAGTATTTGATGCCGTCTCTTACTTTTTCATACATAGACAGACCTGCTACATAGGCCTACTTAAATTATACTTTCCAGTTTTACACAATGGGTAAGAACCCAAAGTTAAAAGACCATTTACATGTTCTTGACGTGAATGAAGTGAGGTCTCATTGACAGAAGACTGATCGAGATACTCGGCACATTCCTATCCCAAACATCTCCATCCCTCTTGGGCTTCCTAAGCATTCCCAGGCCAGATAAGATGTGTAATTCCTTCAGCAAATTCTGGATATAATCCACAACCACCATGCTTCTGGATGAGCTTGGAAAACCCCTCAAGGGAGAAACCCAGGAGGCATCACAATCAGATGCCCAAACCCCCTTAGCTGTCTCTTTTTGATGCTCAGGAGAAGTGGCTCTACTCAAAACTCCCAACGGAAATCTAAGTCTTTGTATGTTAGATCCCATTTTTGTGTTCCTCACCAAATCTCATAACCATAGGGGAAGGTTGGAACTTAGACTGTCAGGTAAATTTAATCATGGTTTGTCTCAGCTCTGTTCACTACTTGCAATGCCTTCATTACTGCTGATGCTGCGGTAATCTGCCTGTCAGTCCCTGCACTGTATTTTACCCCTGACCTCCTGGTCTTGGAGCAATAACTCACCCCAACTGGAATGGAGTAATTCCCCATTTCCAACAACTGTCTTAGTGTATTCAAGCTCTCATTTTGGTTTTCCAAGGATTGGGTGGCCTCCATCAGTGGTACAAGATGTTCAGGTGACACAGTTAAGACCACCCCCCACCCCCACATAAATGAATAAATCAATCAATAAATCAATGGGTAAATAAATAAAACAGTGGGTAGGAAGACTCCATCATATCCAACAACCCTGCCTGGGAGAGTTTTCCGGAAAGGTTGTATATTTTGATTGAATGGTGACTGGAGAGCATTGCTGAACATCTATTTTTTCAATGCAAACCTTAATGGAGTCCTTTAGTGTGGTGTTACCTCTGTACTGGCTAAGACATCTCAACAAAGTACCTCAAGGTTAATGCGTAAGCCCTACTTTGGACTTGTTGGGCTTTTGGACTTTCAGCCTTGGATGGGACAGTTTTTCATCAAACCCTGACTCTACATTTACCAGACAGGCCATGTTTGTTAGGTTCAGGACTTCCAGAAAGTGCTTTTACCACAAGTCAACATTGTCCCCTGTGTGAGTCAGCAGTTCTTTTCTGTGCTGAATAAAACCTAAGCAACAAACAGCTCTTCTTTATCTGCCAACTTTAAGTCTTTGTACCCCATGTTTCCAAAATCCTTCTATACTTGGTGATTCTAACCCCACCATCTTTTAACACTTCAAAGGCTGATATTTTCCTTGCCTGACACCGACCAACTAAGATACCACGTCCTCAAACTATGAGACATTTCTGTCAAGGTTTGAGTTGAAAGTCTCCATAGGCAAGGGTCTCATCTTTATGTTTTTATACAACTTAACTGTTTCTACAAGTTAGATTCAGTAGCTCTGTTTCATAAACTTATATCAGATCCAGCAGACAACCAAGTGATGATCAGTGAGCAGCTCTGATTTCATAAATCTGGCCTGGATGTTGTAACACCAAGTACAAACAGACATATAGGTTGAAGAATAATGCAGTATTTTGCCTTATTTTACTTCTTACCATGCTCATCATGTTACAATAACTGAGGCTGAGTAGTTGATGACTGTCTTTGACTAAGACATATGCAACCTGCAGCAAGGCATCATGAGAATTCTTTTTTATTTACAGAGGGCCTCAAGCCAAAAAGCAGGAAACCACTGATGTACCTAACCATCAATTCACAGTCCATCTCTATATAACAAGCACAAACAAGTGCAAGAAAAGAAAGCTAGACTGTTGAGACCATAGGGATTGGAGGGAAAAGACAAGGGGAAAAAGTGGGATTAAAGAAAAGTAAAAACTGTAATTAAGACTCTACTGACTCACCAGAGGAAGCTTGTTAGGAAGCGTGGACCCCCTATTGAGGGGAGAGGGATAACTTGGACTCTTTTGCTTGTAATTAAATCTAAGAGAAATTAATTGAATCACATCTGAAAGGGATCAGACTCATTTACAGTGGAAGGAGGGAGGCAGAGGAGAAGAAGTGAACAGAGACCGAGAAGGAGGCGAGTAGGGAAGGCGTCTTTTTTTTTTTTTTTTTTTTTTTATATAGCTCTTATCGACTCCTAAACCTCACTGATAAGGAGTGTTTTAGTGGTGGTGCATTGGAGGCTGGCTGAAGACACTCTTATTACAGCAGTCACCTCATTAGAACCATCTTAATCCCTCCCCTCCCAAAGGCATTAGTATAATAAGGCTGGATTCTCCTTCTCTCTCATTTTACATCCAAAAAAATTAATTGCTGTATGGGCTAAGCTAAAAGAACTCAGAGCTACAAAATCAACTGAACAAAAAAACAAATTGCTCCAAATGATTGCATTGTAAAGGCTCCTCTCCTCAACATAAGAAAAAAAAAGCCTTTAGCATAGAATTGTTAACTGCTTTCTACAACTATATGCTAAATGGGCATTATCCACAAAGCAGTGCCAAATAATATCTCACATGAAGACTTGTCACACAACACCAGCATTGACATATGTCTTATTGGCTCTGAAGAAACCTAATTAAATGTTGCCAGTGCTGAATTGTACACCCACAATGTGTAAGTGCACTAACATCTTAGGTCTAAGCTGAGTGAAGGGGTATCAGTGACTGGTGAGAGTGAAAGAAACAAGGCTGACTCAATTTAAAAGCACCTTTTAGAGTGCTGACACATTTTTAATAGAAAGTATAAATGAGCTAAGATGTGATGTTTTAACAACCGCTGTTTAAAATATTTAACATTAGCAATGATTTAGCACCTTTAAGTGCAAAAGCAAGATCACCATGGAGATATCAGTGGTCCCCTTGTGATATAGCATGACAGAAGAGAGTACAGTCAGACTGTTGTTCCTCCAATATGTTTTTTTTTTCTGCTCTTTTCTTTTATCTGAAGCTTATAAATAAGATATTTAAATTTGGTAAAACATAATGCATATAATTTTTTCTTTCTGTCATATAAATAAACCTCTTCATTGGTTTATATCCATTAAGAATAGGAATAAGAATAACTTTTTTTATCCCCAAGGGAAATTCAATTGTCTGTAGTTTCATTTGTCACGTATAAAAAAGTCAGCTCAGTGCAGCGGCCAAGTTTTAGCCAGAATTGCTCAGTTGGTGATACAAGCATGAAAATTGGCATGAACATTCTCCATGGGTCACTTAACTAGAAAAGTGACCCGGCCATTTGAAATTTCAGGATGATGGCCATTTTTTAAGATGGTTGCCACCCAAGTGGAACGTTCCAACGTCAAGTGGAATTCCTCACATGAGCTTTGACAGTACATGGAGGTTAGTATGTATGAGCGAAATGCATGTACATTTTCTTGTAGACAATTTAAACACAGTCAACTAATTTCATTTGTGAATTTGCCATTTTCCAATTGCTGAATCACTGCATGTCAATATGCTTGAACATTTATTCTCAAGTACTGTTGTGTCACTTGTTTAAACTATTTGTCACATACTGCAATTTACTAAAATAATACAACATTTGCAAAAATGGATCATAGGTAATTGTGAGTATATGTCTCTATTCTTTATCTCCAGTCTTTGACCTCCATCATACTTCCATGTGTAAAGGTGCAGGGCTCTAAGGGCTCTATGTGGCCCAAAGGGCAGAGAACATTACTCCCCACTCAGCACTGCATGTTGCATAAGGGATCATGCATGATCAACCAACAAGCAAATAAAACCAACAAACCAAAATCGAGATAACACTTGCATCCCAACATCTGAGAGGGATGTCGGCTGTTGTGGAGCAGATTTAAAAGCCGTATAACTAATATGTCTCGGGTGGGTGCCTGGGTGCGAAAGGAGTTGGCCTCTTTCTGCTGGTTAACTAAGTGCTTTCAGAAAAAAAAAGAAAAATATACAAGCAAAGAAAAAAAAAAGACTATCAACTCTAGCAGCACCCAAGGACGGCAATGCATCTGGCTAAATGAAGATAAATGCCTGTGGACCATTAGCAACAAGATAAGATCTTTAACAAGCCTTGTTTAAGAGTGTCTGAAGGCAAATTAATTCACAGTTACTCCGCTGGCAGACAGTGTGTTCTCTTGTAACGCATGTATATTTATGATGGAATTAGTTTCAAAAGGAAGTCCCCAGAGGAGGGTTTTTGAGTGGAAACACTGGTACAGTGCAATTGATTTCACTCTATTTATGCACTTTCCCACTGGCAGTTCATCTCACACGAGCGAGGAGGCGGTTTCTAATCTTCAATGTAGTATCCACTAATAAAGAGAACGATCAGTGAGTTGAGACAGCAGGGTAAACACAGTTAACAGGCAGATTTGTAATGATAATAAGGCAGAAATAGACTTGGCTGTTTAACATTTGGGATTAATCACCCTCAGGCAAATCCATTCTGAACAGCAGTGGTAGAATACAGCAACATGTCTCTAAAGAGCCATGATATCTGAGAGAATAGTGAATAAAAAGGGAACTGTCTCAGGCTCTGAAGTATAGAAAAGTGCAGCATCAGCTTGTGTGTGTGTGTGTGTGTGTGTGTGTGTGTGTCTGTGTGTGTGTGAGGACATGAGTCAGTCTGTTTAAACTCACTTCCATAATGAGGTCCCCAGTTTTGGGACAGCAAAACGCACTCCGCAATTGAGCGGTTTCCAAACTACGAGAAATGTTTACTTAGCAGCTGAGGAAACAGAAGTCTCCATGTGTTTCGGGTTAAAGGCACATTTCCGTGTTGAGAGGTATAATTGCTAAGCGTGGCGCACTTTGAGTGGCGTGGTGATGCAAACCTTGAAAGCTGCAAACGGTGAATGATAAGTAGCTCACCAGCTCCAACATGTGTTTCTCATCAAACATCTCCGACCTGAAAACAATTTCCCAATTTCCCTCATGGCCTGGGACAACAGAGGGCCTTGTGCCGACTCCAAGGGAAAATTTAAGATCAACACCATAGCTATAAAGCAGAGTTTATGATTTGTTTAATGGGTGTTTTGATGTGAATTATATTTTTTATACACTACCTCTGTCCAACAAGGCACTCATAGCAAATGAAGTAGACACTTTTTAATCCAATCTGGGATTTAGAGATGACGAATGAGAAGAGAAAAACTCTCCTTGTCCTTTAATTGTGAAGGAAACTCATTGTTTAAAGTGGGCTTACACTAAACACAACAGGACTCTTCTGAAAGTTTAGTTTTTTGACAAATGTGGGGTCATATGAGATCATCGCTCCCACATGCAGAATTAGGCCACTGTTCCTTTCTCCAGCGACCAGAGAGACTGTGCAGCAGAGAACTTGAAACCCCACAAACTGAGCGATATGAGCCTTCAGTTTTTGATGAAGCTCTTCCAAGTAAGAGATTCACATTTTTCTTCCTCTTTGTGCTGAAGCAGATGTGTCCACATATGTTTTCCTGCGATATCCAGATGCTACAGTGAAACCATGTGCTTAACAAGCTGTGGACATAAAACATTGTCTCAGATTGTCTCTTCCAAGGCACTTTTTTAGAGCCCTGAGATCATAAAGCAATTTATGAGCGGTATTATAAAAGGCAAGCAACATTTCATCTCTGCACATAAGTTTTTAGAACAATGATTCAGTCCGATTCACCTAAACACTTACAATTCTGAGTCCATTATGAACACTGTCTATAAAAATCAAGACGAAGAGAAACGACAATATGGTTAAAGATTATGGTCCCGTGATGAGATGCACCATACTTTTTAGCAGCTTGTGTTCAGATGATATACAGTATCATAAGACTGTCCGTCTTAGGTAGTTATGACTCAGGGAAACGCGTGAGATTTTAGTACAGAGAGGCCTCGAGAAACCTCTTTCCTCTCTTCATCAATCTAGACATTTTGACCTGCAACTTCATGTTTAATGTTCTCTTCTGCAATTTCAGAGTTACTGCCTGCCTATCTCCCCTCAAAAACTTTAATCATGCACAGAGGACCTCAGAAAGCGGAAGCCTGTAGCGCTGATGTTTATGCTACAGTAAAAAACACTTATTGCCAGCTTGGTTAAGTTGCTTTTCTCATTGATGTCAGTTTGCCGTAAGATGTCCTGACGCAGGTACGTCATTACCTGAAATGGCTAAGGGAGACACTCTTAGTTTTTTCAAACAAACCGATTACCTTTTGAGAGCATCTCCAACCCCATGACATGCTAGTTTCCACGTCAAATCATCAACTGTAAAAACAGCTGCTAAACTCTAAAGAGGACAAGTAAACCCAACAAAAGTAAATTTGATATTTTTTCAGCAAAGTCAAACTAAGATAAGATAAGATACTCCTTTATTGGTCCCACATGAGGAAATTCCCAATTTATGGTTCATCCCTTCCAAGAAACATACAGAAGACAGGCACATACATGGGGGGACAGTTGCAGGAGAAGTGTTGGGTCACAACAGACCGGTGCCCCCCCTTAAATGAGAAAAAGGAGAACAGGTTGTGGGTTGTGCTGGCTAATAAAAGGTGAGAAATCTACCTCTGCTGCTGCTAGTTCCTGAGACAGCTCCTGGATTTTCTGCTGCTGCTGGATGAGGAGCTCCTGAACAGAGACCAGGGTCTGCTGCAGCTGGCTGACTGTGGAAACATGCAGAATGACACACAGTCAATTCAGCACACTTGAAATAAACAACATCGAGACAAGAAAGATGGTGGGATAAGGTTGTTTTTGTGCCACAAAACTGAACATTTTCTCTCAAGAGATAATGACAGAACTGATGAGACTCAACTTGTGTCACTGATCAAAGCCGTCCTCTAAGAATTGTAATCAAAGCTAATACCCGGTAACTTAAGTCGCCCCTTTTTGGTCCGAGGCGCTGGGGGTAGAGGGTGGGAAGGGAGGGCACATAGGATGGAGATATTAATCTCTAGTGCCTGAACTTAAATCAAATAACAGTCTCTAACCTTCCATTATCCACCCAGACACTGCCTTCTAATGCATCTTAAATCCTCAAACGATCAACAAAGGAAAAAACAAGGCTCTCATTTGGGAGGAGGCTGCCAGACAAAATGTCCCCCCTAATCCTAATAAATATTGTTCTTTTTCCATTGACTTTGAAGATTGAATTAGTTCAAGTGTTGGTGTTGGACGAGGGTGTATGATTTCAAATAACACCGGGCGCAGTTTGTTGCCCCCTGCTTCCAGTCACGCGTGTATTACCAAACAATGCATTAAGTTTCCCTGAGCTGATTATATTACAGAAAACCAATAAACATTCATATAAATCATGGGCGTGTAAAGTGTTAAATCAAGCCTAATAGGATTAACATCAACAGATATTGTGGCGGTCCGCTGCTGAGGTTGTCAGGCCAATGGTTAAAAGCCTGAGCTGCAGCCGGCTGGACGGGATGTAAAGAAGCCTCCTCTCATATTAACCCAGGCCAGGACAAAAGACGGAGCCCTGCTTGGAGGCTGTGTTTCTTTTGAAAAACCAGCACAGACAAAATATTTGATCTTTCAAAGAAAGCTAATATCTTGTAGTGACACCTGTGTTTAAATGGGTGGGGTTATATCAATATAGGTGGGGTGCTGAAACGTTTGATCTTTTCATGCTTGCAGAGTCCTTCGGGATACGAGTTTGAGCAGGATTGGTGGTTGGCGAAAAGGACCATTGTGCAAACAGTTGAAGTTTGTTACTTGGTTTGTGATCCAGAGTGGGACCAGCCTTTCTGATGATGGCTATAAAACTAAAATACCGCAGCCATCCCTGCTTAAAAAGGTGTTACTATGACAGGGTGTGCGCGCTAAGCAGAGAGCTGCCATATTAGTCTTTGATTCCACCACACCACAGAACAGCTTATCCAGATGTGAGGGTCAGTCTGCCAGCCTGTAATGCTGCACCTCCTGAATGACTGAATTAGCAGCACTGGGACTGCTTTTTTCAGCCACTTCAGCCAAACAGTTCAACTCTTTTCAAGTCTCTCTGCAAAGTTTACTTTTGAGTACTTTTCAGATGCTTAGCAAAAAAAAATGAATCACTCTGTTTTCCCAGTTATCACAGATATGAAGCCAAGAATAATGAAGTCAATGACTTTGGCCAGGCATGAATCAGAAGGAGGCTGTGGCTGCAGCGTGTGTGTGTGTGCGTGTGTGTGGGAGAGAGAGAGAGAATCTGAGACAAGATGATGGGTGAGGCTTGCAGCTGCTGCGAGGAGGGTGCACATTGTGTATTCAGTAAATTATTCAGTAAATACCTCGATATAATGTACACTACATATGTCCAGGCCTGTCTCTGTCTTTAATGGCCAGCTGGTCACCAATATGGCTCCCACCAACAAAGAGTGCCCAAACAGCAGCACAATTCCATTACAGCCTGGGTGCGCTGAAGTAGTTCCAAGATCCATTCATTAATTGTCTGTGTGAAGTTGTAGGCAAATCATAATGGGAGTCAAGGCCTCTACTCTCGAACTGGGGCTGGTGAGAGAGACTAATGTGGTCCCCATTCAAAAGGATACATCACCTCATTGGGCCCGGCACTAGAGAAATACATGAACTTTAACAAAAGGGGGTTCAAGCAATTGGCAGCAGCGACGCAGTCGGTCGCTATTACTCAGTGCAGTGAGGAAAGGGAGAGAGAGGGAGAGGAAGACAAAGGGAGAGCAGAGGCAGAAAACTCTCAGTGTAATTGCAACCCCTTTCCCCAACTGTTAACTACAACAGTCATTAACTACAATAGCAGCTTGGCTACTGCAGTCATAGCAAATTAGTTCCCCACACTGGCTGCAGAAAGGACCCCTGTTTTTTTTTTTTCTTCCTTTTTTCCCTTTTAACTGGAGTCTTACCTACTGCCTCTGAATACAGGAGGACTCTTTCTGTGAAATCCTGCCTTCACCAACAAACAAAACAGGGTTTGGGAGTTGGCAAATCTCCAAAAAGTGATAAGTAGAGCAAGAATGGGCAGTGGAATAGCCAGAGGAAATGTGTTTGCATAGTTGGGAGAAAATGACCATAAAAGAGCACATATTTGTTAATCAGATTCAGAGTGGCACACCTCGCACGCAATCTCGCACAATCGCTGTCCTCAGCCTACCTCAGCCTGCCAGAAAACAATGGCATGGGTGTGACAGGATAAAATGATAACAGCCATATTTTCATCCGCCCTATGTTTGTCTGTGACAGGTGTTGGGAAATCAAGCTCTAAATTTGTTTTAATTTTGGAAATGGAGGGATGATCAAACAAAGGTTGCTTGTGTTTTAACTGACACGACTGTGTTTATGATGTAGGTCACAGATCATCTTGTTCAGTAGATCTATAGACTTAGACTGTTCAGAAGGCATGCTGTCGTCATATAGTTTCTTCAAGAGAGGCAGAAAATGTAGATGCATTTTTCTCATGGGCAGAGGTTCTCTATTGTTTTTTTTTTGTTTTGTTTTGAGGCTTTGCAGTTTGACTCAATCATCTTAAGCTCTTCGGTGTGGTGTGTTTAAAAGCTTTATTTCATGTTTTCTCACATGATTTCTTTCGGTTCTTTTACAAAACATTTCTTGTGTGTTTTTATTGTAACTACTGACTGGAAAAAAAGTCCCTGTACCACTGACAGGAAAACTCGAACTAATAGGGAGTGGTGCCTTTCAGGTGAAAACACACTCCAGTTCGACACTACTGCTAACGAGACCAAACTTTTCTTAGAGTGTCTCTCTCATTTACGCCTCCCTGGATTTTTAATTACACTGACAAAGAGCTAGGAAAGCATCTCTCTCCTTGCTTCCCTCTCTCTCCATGTCTGACAGCCAGGTTGAGATTCCTCACCTGTCCAACATGGGAGCCGCACCTGTCACCGTGCACTTAATCACGCTAGGGCCAGTGCTGAGCCCAGACGCCACACAGTGCCATGCCGCACGCACATCCAGCACTCACACAAACACACATTCACGCACAGAAAATTAAAATGAACTTTCTCGCCACCTACGGGGAAGAGGGTGGGTGATGATGATGGCGGTGGAGGTTTGGATGGGGGTGAGGTTGGTGCACGGGGAGACGGATGGAGGGGGGGAGTGAGAGAAGATGGGTGGGGGTGGGAGAAAAGTTGTCATTTCCCAACTCCTCATTAATATTCCGAGGTTAAGAGCTTTTCAGCGAAACGTAATTAATTGAGCCCGAGCCTGACAGTAAACAAGCAATTTCAAATTAAAGCGAAATGACAGCGGCGTCATTTGTTAAAAACGTGCGGGGCCCCCCGATTTTGGCGACAGATAAATGAGGGAAAATGTTAAGGAGGGAGAAAGTGATGAAGATATTAATCTTCACCTGTCTGTGTCAGCGTGCCACTCATTGCCGCAATGTTGCTCTCCATCCTCTGCAGATGCTTCTTGTCCTCTCGGCTGCCCATAATGAGGGGAAGGATGTATTTCTGCAATTAAAAGTATGGCACAATATTACACTTCTCTCTGGTGGGAAGGGGCAGAAAGATGAGGAAAAGACAGGGCAGGCTAAACTTGGCAACAGAGGGTCAAACACATAGTTTTGTTGGACAAGTGCCTGATTGTTTAAAGTGCTTGATTAGGAGTGGGAAGATGAAACATAAAAACATTTGTACAAAGGAAAGATAACAATTATGATAATTCATTTGAGGTTTAGATTTGTCAGGCATAAATGTCAAGTACATGCTGGCATGGGACAAGCTGCTTCTCTCTTTTTGTCACATTCTTCTGACTATACAGAAATTGATGTTTTATCTTCAAGTGAAGAATAATCTTCAATAAAAGTAACTGTTGTTTCCAGTCCTTGAACTATGTTTGCAGAAATATAAATGAAAGAAAACCAGGAAGGGACAGATCCAGAAAGAGGCCTAAAGGGAAAAACGTGGTGGTTGTGAACACTGAAAATAGTCATCCAAAACCAAAAACAATGTCATGGTGTTTATAGTCTCCCTGCCACTGAATAAACACAACTCTACTAAATGATATGTATGTCTGACAGCCAAATGAGCATGTTTGTTATCCAGCGTGAGTTTTAACCAGATGAACAACTTGCCAGCATCTCACTGAATCCTTAAGGTGAGCGAGGAGCCCACTTTACCTTACAAAAATACCCATCCATGTAACCCTGCTGAGTCCAGTTCTGCCACATTCAAAATCTCTATTTTGGGTATTTCAAGGTCCAATAAGGAGGACTTCATCTCATGCAGCCGGTTTGCAGCTCTCTGCTCCCTGAGCCAGGTTTTCTCTCCCACTCAGGTGGCAAGCAGCCACACCAGCGCAAGTAATAAACACTTTTTAGAGAAAAAGATTAAATGAGTGTCAACACGTGGTAATTAATAAGTGGGTTGCTGGGAGTGTGGTGTTTACAAGGTGCACCATAACATAAATAAAGTGTGGGCAGAAGCCCGGACATATGGTGCGACTGGCGCTACGCTCCAGTGACATGACAGCAACCTGTGCCGTCCCGCCAGGGAATCCCACCTCCCAGACGACCAGTGGCTGGCAAAGCCTGCTGCATGTGGGAAACAGTGGGCTGGTACAGACACAGTGTGTGTGTGTGTGTATTCAGTTAGTGAAGGAACAACAGAAAAGGGAAGAAGGGACAGGAGGCTCTAAATGTGGAGCTTATGCAAGACAGTAAAGTAGGCGCAGTATCCATGTACATGTATCCTGTGCATGCATGTACAACAGGATACATGCTCCTTTTTTTCTCTTTTGCACATACAGGGGAGAACAGGCTGTCATCCAGGCCAAGTACTGCTGCTAAAGCTCCTGTCTTCCTTTAAAATGAGAGTAATGGTTTCCACATGCCACTCAGACTAGTACTAACAACCACTATGGGATTAATGTCACTAGGGACAAGGGGCCTCATGAGCTCATGCTCTGGCTGCTAAGCCCGATAAAAACCAGGGTGATTATTTCTCGAAGGTGGGATGTCAAAAAACAGTTGTGTGCTGTTTAAGCAACTATATTTTTGAAAGGAAAAGACATATCTGAGAGGAGGATGTGAGGGGAAGTTTAAAAGAAGGGGTTCAAATGAGATCATGCTTTGACGTAAAGCAGGGGAGCTTTAATAACAAGACTAGAGTGATGTGAGCTGCTGAACAGACATCTTAATTCTAGCACCATGATTCATCAATACTGATGTACTTGCTAAGCCTACCAATTTAAATGCAACATAAAGAAAAAGCAGCACTGGCAGATCTTGGGATGCAAACTATGATATGTATTACAATTTTTAGAGAGACATTAACTGTAAAAACAAAGTCAGAGAGGAAACATTAGGGGGAAGGGTGAAGGAAAAGGGTGTAACTTACTTTGTAAAGCTGATGAAAGCCAACGGCTATGCCCACCATAATGACAGTGAGGGCACCATAGTCTCTCCATCTGTAGCCAGCAGGACCTAGAGAAAGGGGGCGATAAACCACTTTAGCACTTTAAAATTATATTTATATATATATATATATATATATATATATATATATATATATATATATATATATATATATATATTGTAAAAACACTGGGACACTGTAGCTCAAAACTGTTCACCATTTAAACATTTTTTTTACCAATGAGTATAGATTTTTTTTAATGAATTCTTCCTGGCACTTTAGACATTCATGAAAGAAAGACATGCCAACCAACAAGCTGACAACTCAAAAACTGATTAAGTTGTAAAGTCTTTGAAATATATTTTTTAGCTATCCTTAGTTTTTTGTCTGATTTACGTTATCAATGTGTGGTAAATTTTTTGGATACTTTAACAATATAATTCATTCATAATTAATGAATGATTAAACTTTGACACTCTCTCTAGACATCACCAGAATTACAGGTCAGATCAATCAATGAATCTATTTCATTAATTCAAGCCCAGTATGCCAATCATATGTTGTGCTGTAGAACAGCCACTCACCACTGGTGGGGGCAGTAGCTACGATCAAGGGCTAATGCCACACTCCCATAATGCTATTATGCTATACTACTATGGTTGGGAGAAATAAATTGATACAGCATAGTATTGCGATATTATGTCCGGTAATATATCGTCTCATTTACCAAGTATCAATTTTAAAATTAATTGCTAATATGAAATCAAATCTATGATAATGAAAAAATAAAATCAACTGAGGTTGGTAGAAATGACATCACAGAGCAGGAGAAAGCGACTTAAACAGATATATATATATAAGGTTTGCAAGATGTGCTACATGAAAATAAAATACAAATAAACAAGACAAACAAAAAGGAAAAACAAATGCTAAATTAGCGAACCAGTTAAAAAAATTGCATAAACCGCAATATATAATGCTCACTATATTGCAAAATGTTAAAAATTGCAATAATATCTTATCGTGGCCCAAGTATCGTGATACTGTTGTATTGTGGGGCCACTAGTGACTCCCATCCCTATCTTCTACCTGCGTGTAAACAAGCACAGATGACTGATGGCATCTTGCATGTTTTTGTAGTATTTTCATTTTTGAGAAAATGAAGGTGAAGCTGTATTAAGATGGTTTCTGGTTAAACTGGCGTGTAACCACTCATCCAGAGCGAGGCATGTGGATGCCGTGTGGTGCAAGCCCTGCTATAGTTCACCACCAGTGATGCTAGCAACGCCCTACTCTAATAAATCCACTTTTTTCAATAACGAGTAAGAGACACGTCTGCTTCTAATTTACAAACAGTACTGATATATGTGGAATGTAATGGATTTATTGAAAAATTTTCTTTAGTTAAATTCAAACTGGTTTCACAATTTCTACTTCAACATTTGATGAGCAAAAAAATAATACAGTGGATTAACGTATGGCGGTACTATTGTTCACTCTGTTCATTCAAACTGGACAAACTATAGTGTGCTCCCTCTGTCCTGCTCTTCCAGGAGAGACATTATTGTCTTCAACTTACTTAAACCACTAAAACAGAAGCAAGGGTAAATATGTGTGTGTGTGTGTGTGTGTGTGTGTGTGTGTGTGTGTGTGTGTGTGAGTGTGTGTGTGTAGAAGTTGACTGTCTTACTGAGTGACAGATAATGTGAAAGTGTGTCATTGTGCAAGCTGTCATATGGGTAGGCCAACTGTCTGTCAAAGTGGAAATTCCCCACATAAGAGAGGCATTCAACTGAAAATGTCACTAAACAACAAACAGGTCTGGAGGAAATATACTGTATGAGTTTTTTTCTTTTGTTTACTCTGCCAGAGCCCAAATGAATAAGAAATTAGAAAAGGCCTGGCCGCTGAAGTACACAATTGATATTCTATTACAGGTCTGATTTCACATAATGGGCTATGTGATATATGTTCACTGGCTTGACATGGAGTAAACCAGATTGATCTTGTGCCTTATAACTTGTCTGATTTGACATGCAAATAAACTGAGGGACCTATTGCCATATTGTACTATGTGGTAGATTTTCAAGGTGAGTGCTTTTTTATATTTCTTACTCAAGGGCACGTTTCTTTGCTGCTGCAGCATTCAGCAGTGAACTTCTACCCTTTGACATCAAAATTTTGAATCATTCTCCAACATCCATATGGTAACCACATAAATTTGGGTCTTCATCAACATTATGGCTGCGATAGACTGTCACCTATCCCAGAATGCCCTGCTTCTGAAAGGCCTGGGAGTCCTTGGGAGAGGTGGTTGACCCTGAACAAGACTCACTGCATCACTAGGGGTCTTCACTTGCTCTTTCCCCCCCCTGTTAGGACCTTTCATTCTTCCTCTGTCTCTCCCTTTTTTCTCAACCACTTCCACTCTGCCATCTTCCTTTTTTTATTTGGTCACTTAAGCTGTGGAACTGTGGTCTCCATCCCCCGTTTTTCCAATCTCCTCTCAAATTTATTGGGTTCAGTGGAGGCCTTCCTGTCCTTCTACCGCGTGGAAATAGAGATCAGAGTATCCATTACTTCGACAGAGATGGATGCGGGTCCCCGTGCACCGTCCCCGTAACAAGGACATCAAAGGGAGGTAGCCCCCTCTTTTCAGCATGACCCCCCATACAAGACTCCCCGCTCTCACCTCATTATGCAGCTCCCTTATAGCCGTTTTGATATAAAACCCCCCACTATGGACGGAGTGCCGCGAGTCTCCCTAACTACATGGCCATCCCATCAACATCACTTTCATTACAAAACATGAGATGCCAGGGGAGTCAAGGACAGTGTGGTAATAAATGAGGGTGGAATACATCTGGAATCATTGTCATATGGGTTAAGCATTACGCGGACTTCATTCTGCATTGGTAAATCAGTGGACAGCACTCATAACCTCCTGAGGTAATAAAGATACAGGTTGCGGTGCAGGGTCTTGCCAGGGTGGAACCCCTTGGAAAAGAACTGCTAGAGATGAGCTTCATGAGCTTGCGCGGTACAATGTCATATTCCCTGTATCTGAATCCACAATCAAGGCAAAAGTTGTTTTACATACATGTGTACAATGCTTATGGAGCTGTTGGCACTGGTGAATTCCTATGAAGAATCTTGTTCATTGCATTTGAATTAATAACATTTTTGTGAAATAATCCGGTCTTTGAAAATCTTGTGTTGCAGTTTGTTTTCTATTTTCTATTGCCTTTTTCTTTTGTATGACAACCTTCTTTTTTTTAATATCACCTATATGAAATAAAAATGGATCAATCAATACAAAAAGTGTAATTCTCCAAAAACAAACTCTTTTCTCAGCCGACAGACTACACAGGTATTTGGGGTGGGAATCACCAGTGGCCCGGCGATACGATATTATCATGACACATATCATCAAATTATTTACTTATTTACAGTATTTTATTTTCATGTCACCAGACAATATATCGCGATACTATGCTGTATCGATTTTTTCTTCCACCCCTAACTGATATACTGTGTATTTGAATGGTATACATAAGGGAGTGAAAGGTTGTGTGTACATACTTTGTGGTACAGGAACCAGCTGAGTTGCATAGGGGGGCTGTAGGGGCCCCGCATGGCTCAGAGGAAGGACTTCTTCTGTGCTGCCAGAGCGCAAGATGGCCAGCTCTACTTCCACATCCGTCAGTCCTGGAATCAAGAGACACGACTTTAAGACATTTGGTGGGGCTGCAGTGACGTGTTAACGCCTAATGGCTCCTCGGCAGTCGTAATATAAGTTTGAATACATCCCAAGCTCCCCACAAATCTTTTAAGTATAATCTAGAGAAAGTATGTCAAATCTCCTTTCAATTTGACCCACCCTCTGCTCAAAAATGCATTTTCATTTCATAATTAAGAAATTCCACGGAGAGTTGTGTTTCAGGGACATCCATCATGAACAGATAGTGTGAAAAAGTTCACACAATGAAATCTGAAACTCCACTTGCCTATTAACTGCCACCAAAGGCAAAGAAAATAAGAGTCTGTCCACTTCTCCAGTTATATTTCCCATGTGGAGATTTCATACACCCCAGACAGCGAAAATGCATTATTTTAATTTCTTCATTGTAATGTAAATGTATTACATAATTTTGCAAATGCCAATATAATTTAATCTTCAGATCTTTTTAATGATTTTAGTGATGATTAAATTGCAAAGGGCTCCCTGATGGAGAATCAGAAGGGAGGAGAAAAAAGAATCTAATATGAACATCTCCTTTTGTAGCAAGAAAGGATTTTATTTCAGGCGACATACACAGACACTGCTGTATAGGTCTCATCCTTTAATGAGCATCTAAGACTCAACAAAGAGAATAATTACATTTTTCAATAAGCTGCATTAAGAAAACAATATTGACCAATTCACTGAAAAACAATTAAGAGAAAACAGAGGATGGAGAACAAAAAACAACATTAATAGTGTTTTTTATCTGCTCAAAAGCATGGTTTATTTCAGGATAAAAAAATACCAATATTCCATTCATAACCAAGACTGTTTCTTTTACTTAAACCAGGTGACTCACACAAACACTTTCCTTCTTTTAGCCAATACCAGTGCTTACTGACAAGAACTCCTCAATGTGGGGCAGTCTCTAGCATGGGGGTTTGGAGAGTTTGCTCTAATTTAAAATAAGTTTCCTCCAGCTATCAAGAGACATCAGTTGATTGATAAGCATTCAGTTCAGTGGCTCTATTTAGTACATAGGTTGCATGGTGCATGGTTGCACAGTCATGTCCTGCTGTCTTTGTTACTGGCTTTTAAAGGGGCCATCAGAACAAATCATAGGAACACCCATGCAAAGTTATCAGTGATAAAATCTATGCAAAATGTAAAGAACTGTTTCCATCTACAGTGCTTATGTTATGATGTCCAAAACCATTCACAAAGACCATCCCATGTTTGAATATCTATTCAAGCAACCTTATTTTGAGTGAAACCTGAGCAGGAAGTTTAACCCTTGATCATAAGTCCAGTTTGTTCTGTTTTTCCAGCCCAAAAGCACTGAGAAATCCTTTGATAATCTGCCACACAGCTAAAGCCAAGAGGAGGTCCCTCCAGTCACCTATTTAAATGCTCTGGGGACTTCAAATGGCCATGAAAATTGTTGAATAATTGAAGGCAAATATTGGCCGGCCTGTAGTCTGCAGCAGGTCCTGAGTGCCAGGAAGTGGTGAGCGCCATGTGCTGAGTTTGTGCAGTCAGACTGCACTGTCAAATAAGCAATAATGTGTCCCTGGACTCCTGATTCATCTGACCACAGCAGACTACATGGTGGCAGACTATTGAGTGAGACATGCAAGGATCTCAGTTTCATCAAATACAAAGAAAAAAAAAAAACATGCTTGAGGTTTTTTTCCTTTCACCTTGAAATGTTAACTCTACAATTAGCCTTTTATCAGACTTAATGTATGTACATCTTAATAACTGCTTTTATCTTTGATGTTGTTTATGCAGCAAATGCAAGGTATTTGTTTTTGCTTTGCATTGAGATAAAATACATTTAAATTCCTAAATCTGTTTTCTAGTCAAATTACAGCTTGCAAAGTTGAGATGTACGCTCTGATCTGTTTATTGTTGAGGGGAAGACAACAGCAAATGAAAGAGCTCTTAGATCCAAAAGAAAAGGGAACAAGGTGAAAGTGAGTTTTACATATAAAAGGAAAAGACAAAAAAGGGATTGTGAAATTTATTATCGGCTCTGAAACCTGTGGAATGACCCCTGGACCCTCATTTCCGATCGACCTGTGGGGAGATGAATTTTTTTAAACATAAATTACACCTAATGACGACACCATAAAAAAGAACAATAATGGAAAGCTATTCTGTATTTCATTATACTGTATTATTTGGTGCACCTGATACACGCAGTGCCTGTTTATGAGTCACCGTATTAGCAGATGCTCAGCCAAAGCATTTGCTTTGACCTTGCCATTCTCATTGGGGCATGAAATTACGGTGCTGGCACCTCGATATTACAGCTATAAATACTGTAAACTGCATATCTGGGCTACGTTTTCTATTGTCTTTCAACATAAACCTGATCGGTATTTATTTAAAGGAAAACCCATTGCTCGTCAGGTTATTTACAGCTCTATTTCCAGCAGCTCATATTCTCTGGGTATTTTTTAAGGGCAAAGAGGCAGCAAGGCTCGTACATTAAATCCATTTCTCCAATTCTGGCACTTCTGGACTTTATGGGTCAACACCTCAGCTGGACAGCCAATTATAAAAATTGCTTACTAAAATATTTTGGGTTGTAAAAGGTGAATGCCTCTTTCTGTGCCCTCCAAGGTCTGAATTATGAAGTTGCCCTTGGGTGAAAATTACTTACATTTTGAATATTGTACTTAGAAAAAAAGGCAAGGCAGGGGTCATAAATAGATGGAGGTCAATGGGTTATTAAGAAGTCGAGTGCAACTTCAACCTGGTTCTCTTGCCGTGCCAGGGAGGGAGATTCTCCATGTCATTTGGTTTAGTCCAACTGCCTGAAAATAGCCTGCCTTAAATAATGACCACTCTCATAGAGTATTCATTTATGTATTAAAAAAGCAGACTCTGCTCTCATTTCCCTGCTTTATCACCCTGTACTGATGACAAAGTAGGCAAGGCCTAGGCTAGGTGGCGCCGTGGAGTAATTTATAACCACATCAATCCCTTTACCTTCTCCACAGGCCTTGGTCATTGTCATTTTTGTCCGAGAGGTGAGTCACATAACCCCACTTACAAATAGCATCCTATTAATATCTGGATGATGAACCTTATCCTTAGCCTTACCTTCATACCAGGTATGGTAATAGACCAACAGCCTACCTGTGTTCCCAGTGACCCTCGATCACTGGCCCTCTACTCAGGGTGAAATCTATTAGCATTATTTATTCAAGTCAATAACAACTGGGACGGCATAAAAAAAGAAATAAGTCAAGCCATCATTTATATCTCACCGGCTGATAATGTACTGTGCCTGTTTCACAAGCTGAATTTACCTGCATATAACAATGGACCTGCTCTCTCTGGGCTTGACTTTCCAAGCAATCTGCACTCGTTTTCGTGATCTGGAAGTGCCTAAGCGATGTCATTTGAAGGGCCACGGTTAAAGTGACATGCTGAAAGCCGGAAAATGTTCTCGACTTTGCCCTGCGAATTTGATTTTTTTGGCAATTATGTGTGTAACTGCTAATTGTCTGGGCTAAATGGTGAAGCCAAAATGGGGCTCAACGCTCTTTAGTTGTTACATCTGTTAATTGTAGGGGACAAAGATGGCCCAATTCACTGGATGAGTCTGTGGCACATTTAGTTTCATTCAAAAAATTACATTTTTTTTTTTAATCTTGGCAAGGAGTGAGTATGGTAAAATTGTTTCAAGATTGCTGTTAGATAGTTTGAATGATGTTTGTTTTTCCAGTCCCCTAAAAAACATGAGAAAAAACTCATCTTGTAGTTTAAACCATAATTTATGTGGCGTCCAAGTGACAGAGTTTCAATATTTCAGTCAGTTTAGTCAACAGCTAGAAATATTGGACTGCATAATTGTCAATTCATCCCCTGAAATTGATGGTTGAAGGGAAACAAAATTATACTTTTTCAATGAATATTGAAATAAACCACACCATAAGGATGTCTCTGGAAAAAAGGGGATCTAACCAGAGAGACATCCTTCAGTGCAGATTAGGGCACAAATGTGGAGGGAAATAATATGCACGAGCAAGATTATTGTGTAAAGATTCTGCAACATGCAATCAAAGTGGGCCCTATTTTCCCCTTCATCAGCTGTCCAGCGTAAGTACTGGCAGCAAGAGGAATCCAATTTAAATTCCACTCCACCGGGAGATGGTATTGTTTCATTTTATGTGTGCTTTGACATTTCTGGCTGTTAATATAGAGTAAAATCTGGAAGTATTTACATAAATATGACATTAAACTGTATTAGAAATTAAGACCGACACATTTGCTGTGGTGACAGAGGGAAGAGGAGGATGATTGAGTTTCTCGGTCAAAGGCTTGAAGGGAAAATAGATGCTGGGAACAAATACAGGAGTAACTCTGAGCACTAGCCAATGACAGTGCAAAAGTCAACTTCAGCAAGAGTGAGCCTGAACATAGCAAGACAACAGTACTACTACTACAGTAAATTATTTTACTTAGTAGAAATTAACATCAACTTTTTTTATGAAGAAAAACTGAACTTTGTTCATTTTTGGCCTTTTTTAATAAACCTACTCTAGTAAGAATCATTTAATGGAACTTTACAGACAGAGATGTTTTTTTCTCTGATGTCAATTCCATTTTAGTTTGGATGCTGAGTGAAAGGTTAATGCAAGAACTGAGTGGATTGCAGATCATTTAAACCCTACATTTAATTGAATATAATGCAAAGTGAACAAAATCAATTCTGAAACTAAAAATTTTATTGGTCAAAAATTTTTTTTGCCAACAACACAGTTCAAAAAAGTTTGGACAAGTGCGTATTCGCCATTGTTTTAAATCACCTTTACTCTTTACAAAACTCTGTAACTGTATTGGAACTGAGGTGACCTGTTTCTGGAGTTTTGAGATTGAAATATCTCCTCTTTGCCCAATGCAGGATTTCTGCTGCTCAATTGTACTCTTATCTTATCATCATATTATGTCCTTCCTAATGGATGACAAGTCAGGAATACAGACAGACCAGTTTAGCACCCAGACACTTTACTGTTAAAACACACAGAGAGTATGATTTGCTCAAAATTCAAGGTTTCTTGAAAAAGCCCCATCATAAATTCTAAAATCTACATTTGCTCTGTATTAGTACCTTTCAATGGTGCCTTCCTACATGTGTACAGTATCCCTATATCATCACAGATACTGGCTTTTGAACTGTGTGCTAATAACAAACCAGGAAGCCCCTCTCCTTCTTGAAGCAAGGACCATGGTTTCCAAAAGGAATGTGATTTTTTGTCAGGACACTTTTCCACTTAGCCTCAGTACACATTTAATGGTAAAGTTGGATTGGTAAATGGACTGAGTGTATGCAGTGCTTTCCCTAATCTCCTGATCACTTTAAGCACTTTTACATCTCATGTCACATTCACCCACTCACACCACATCCAAACACTGATGGCAGAGTAAAGCGTACATTAAGATGAGATAATTCCATTCACACCCTGTTGGCACAGGCACCAGGGGCAATTTGGGCAGAAGTGTCTTCAGACTGAGAGAGAGGTTGCCGGTTTTATTGTGGATCATGTTTATATGGTGTCCTGTTAACACGGTACAGTTCTAACCTAGATTTCTGGATGCAAAGAGGTGCTATGTTCACAGACAGCCGTTTGTGGAAGTGATTTCGAGCACATGGGGCGACTTCTACCACAGAGTCATGTCTGTTTGTAAAGCCGTGCTGCTTGAGGGCCTAAAGATCACAGTCCTCCAGTATTCATTTTTGGCCTTGTCCTTTTTATACAGAATTTTTTCAAGGCTCTCTGAATATTTGAATGATAATTGCATATGATGGAATCACTAAACTACTTGCAACTTTACACCGAAAAAATAATCATTTAAATTGTTGAACTATTGGCTTGTGCTGTCTCTCACATTGTGTAAAGCCTCTTAACAGTTTTACTTTAAACAGACTCGCTCATCAAAATCGGTTTTACCAACATTAAACGTAGCATCCTGGTCTTCCTCAGGACTGAGGCGGGAGTGTAACTGTCACAGAGAAAGCTTTAACTCCTCATGTTCTGGATATGTACACGTTGAAAAGATGGAGGGGAAAACTATGTGATGTAACAACATTTCGCAGAAAAATTAGCTAAATGAAAAGCAGGATGACTCATGATTTTTCACTTCTAGAAATTTGATGTACACTCCCACCTTTTATCTGAGAGTAGATGTTTGCAAAATAACAAAGTCAGCTTAAAAAAGTTCCACTGGGAGCTTTAAAAACTTTCCTGACACAATTTCCTGTAATACACACATATACAAATACAAATCTGTGACTGAAACAAGTGTGCTGTAAAGTTTCAGAAATGTCCTTTCAAGAAACACAGCTTCAGATCCAGTATGAATGTGGAGGATTTCCTTTTTCGATGTGACTACACCACACAGTCCAAGAGTAATCTTATGAATACAGTGGAGTTCTGTGAGGTGCTTACTGTTTCAATGCTTTCTTCTTTCTCATCTTTACTCTCCGTGAGATCAATGTTCTCATGCAAATTGGGTGTTCGTGTTTAGATCTACAGTGGAACCAACTTTCCAAAATAAATTTGCATTAAGACGTCATACATATTTCATGGACTTAAGTGCAGCAAGAGCAAACCGTTCTGTAGAGTGGAGCTCTGTGGAATTTCCAAAAGAGGCTGAGAGTATGTAGAGAGCATGGTGTAGCATGATGTCATTTGGTATTGATGAGGCCTTATTACATTTTAGATTACCAACAGTGGATTAAGAACAAGCCTTGGTCGAAAATAATGAGACACAAAGACAAAGAAATTTCAAAAGATATCAAGAGTCATTAGAGCCACATGAGATGTGTGCAGGAGCAGCAGGCAACCATGGATTTGGTTTCAGGTTACCCTCTCCTGTCATGGAGCTTTTAGGCTCACTTTTCAATGTTTGGCTGGTATAATGCTGGAGGCAAAGTCCCCCAGCACTGCAGAGCTGTAGTCCCCTGAGTACATAAGAGCTCTAGAAATATCTAAAAAAGAAATACCCACCACTAAAGTTATCTGAGGTAAAGCCACAAGCTCTCTCTGTACATATTGTCATTACTCAGCCATAGGCTGACTGTAAGAAGTGCATAACAAAACATCGCACATTTCCACCTCCACACTATATTGAACGACTTAAATGAGTTCAGAGTAATAAAGCTTTTTGCAAGTTTTATTGCACAAACAATAATCTGCCATGTGTCAGAAATAATCTCAATGAATTGCAAGGAAAGTGAAGAGCCAGCAAACATTTCCAGCATCCCTGCCTGGAAAACCTCCCTGTGTCATGCCTCAAATTTATGATAACAGTTAAATTAAGTAAAAGGGTTAAAACGCTGGAAGGCAATATTGATAATTCCATTGAAAATGCAGAGGGAGTTTGTCAATATTAATTTTCCTGAACCCAAAGGAGCATCCCAACTGGTGTGTCATTTATTCACAGGGCCTGAATCATGCACTCCGAAGCTAAATCGACCTCTGTTAGACCCCCAGGGCAAAGAGCTACAGCTGCGACCTTTGACCCTAATGGACAAATCCTAAAAAAAAGGCAGTGTGTGCATCTCTAGCCCACCAGATTTTGTAAACAAACACGTATGAATTATAATCTTGATTTAATTTTCAGACAGATGTATATTGTCTGCCTTTTCGATGTTTCCTGTTGTGTATTGATCACAAATCAAGAGCATTTCACATTTCTCACCTTTTTTCTTTAAGAAGGCTTTTCTGGTTGCCAAGGGACTCTGCTGTACTTTTGGGTTCTGTAGAAATTTCACAGCAGTGGTGATCTAGGAGGAAACAAACATGATTTAATTCCTCATAATGAGATCATGTGAGAGGAAGAGGATCTAGAGGAAAGTGAAGCTTTTAACAGTACAAACAACAGTCTGGAGCATCTTTAAGAAAAAGGTTCGTTATAGTTGGAAAAAAACACACATAAATGGATTTCATTTGAGAGTTGCTTCTAAGCCCTCACACCCATCCATGAAGAGAAAGACCACCTGACCACTTTCCAGCTAAATGTGGGGAATGACCAAATCAGCAGTTATAAAATTAGCCCATCAAGAGTGCTGGACAAATGGAGTATGGAGCTTAATTTGCTATTACCCTCTTAAAGACAAACTTCCATTCTTAAGTGCGCAGTGGAAGAAAATCTATACTTAATGCAGAGGTGATCATTTGTATCTAATAACTTGAGAATCCTAGGCTGAAAACTTCTGTAATTCTTCCAGTTAAAAACCTGCCATGATCAAATCACCCAGCCTGACTGTTGTAATGACTTGAAACGTTAATGCACTAGAACGTTAAATAGCATCAGAACATCAAGTTTTAAGTGCAGTACAGCGTTCATCGATTCTATTATGTTTTCCTTCGAGATGCACCTTAATTTTCCACCCCAGTATGCATTTCCAAGAATTGGAGGGAGAAAAAAATCTTCCCCAAATGGCATTAAAACATAAATTTGAAGTGGGCGCCATGAAGTGGCGCCTCCTATAATAGATAAATATGTAAGAACAAGGAGAAAGGGGAAACACACTGGAGGGAAGGTTTAGATGACTTATTATCGCACCTGTGGTCCCCGTGATTCAATTGTAAAAGTCATCCCTCTAATAGGTTGAAAGGTTTTGATTACTCTTCTTTTCTCTTAGTGTTGAAAGATACAAAGTGATTGAACGCCCTGCCACTGGTAATTCATTTTGGGTAATGCATTGCATATACTATGAACCTGTTTCAATCCAAAAGCATTGCAGTTTAAACTTGTCCAAGGGGTAGGTGTGGCAGGGAGGCTGTGTAAAGAGCTAGATTTCTGTGACAAACACACAATACAGCTGAGGATCACACCGACTACTACACAAAACTTGTGAATATAGATTTGTCTTTTCTCACAGATTAACGCAGAAGTACCTCAAAGATTCTTATTCTGACAAAACTAAATATAAAAACATGAAGGACACTGTAGGACTACTCTATGATAACAGCTGAAAGTGTGAGTTTTATTAAAATGTACCAGATTCATCTCAAGAGATTTTCCACAGTTTATTCAGACACTAATCCACCACTTCACTGTGACACTACCGTGACCTTGATGTACATAAGGGTTACACAAGGGGTATGGAATTTCCTGTTTCTCTATATGCTGAGGGCTTATTAAAGTCAGTCACCCGGAACCTTCATTGTGACAAGCAGATTAAACCATTTGCATGGTGAACCCCTGACTGATGTTCTGGTCCAAAAGATACAGTCAAAACACAGAGAAAATATCCAAATGATAACAGGACACTCTCTTCCTGCTATTTGCTCATCCTTTACTCTCATGTCAGTGGACCAACCGAAGGAGTAAACACACTAAAATCTAATATACTGATATTTATTGCAGTAAATTTGAGAGTGATGCAGGTCCTGTGAGAGGTAATGACCTAATAGAGGAAGAATATGCTGAATGAGCAAACCTTGTTTACATCCTCTTAAAACCTGAACAGCACAACATGGACAGGAAAATTGTGTAAACGTTAATAGGCATAAGTATGACATCTTGGTAAGGATCGCAGCTAGCTCAGCGGCAAACTAATGAGGCAAATGTCCATTTGGTTAAAACTGTAGTGGTAGATCTTCAGGGAGAGGAAAAGAGCACTTCTTAGCGGATGACATAGATGCTTTGCACAAGTTCCACCCAGACATCTCAATCAATTATAACCACATTGCACAGGTTTCAGTCTTGTCTTGTTATTGACTTATGGATCATCCCAGTTATAGTGTTGGGTAGCACACAACTGGGCTTTTAGGGAGTTAAGATGGATAACAAGGCAAACGTCACATTGAAATAATCACACCAAAAAAAAAAAAAAAAAAATCAGATGAAGTCTCTTTTTGTAATCTAGTCAATCATTTGGGGTTCAATAATAATAAAAAAAAAAACTAATAAAATAAAGTTACAAAAAAATAAAGCTTTTTCTTCTAATGCACCAAAGTGCTCCATGTTAAGAGCAATAATCTTTACAAACCAGATAACCAATAAAGTGTCAGGTAAAGCCGAAAAAGAGGCCAAAACTCAATCATAGGAAGAGATAACATTAACCAACACACTTAAAGAGAGTGAAGTTGATGAACAGACAAGATTACAGATATGTTATTGAGTTTGAATTGGACAAGTCTCCGCACTGCACTTGTCTGAAAATTACAATTGTGATACCTCGATTTGTGAGAAATGAGAATGAAATCCAATTATGTTCGAACCTGGAGGTTGGACGCCTGAGGGAATGCATGTAACCAGTTGTATATTTTTGCTCCAACTAGTAACAGCACTTAACTAGGATATACAGTAAGACCTATAGATGTTTCACAGTTGCACATTATAGAGTTAGAGAATTGAAGCAGTTGGGAAATTCAGACTGAAGTGAAAAAGTCATGCACTGTCTTACTAGCATTCTCTGTTGGTTTCAGTTTTTTGATGTTACAGTAACTTACAGTGTCTGAAATAACCGTGAACAACATTTCAACCACAAGAATGAAAAAGAAAATGCTTCACCAGACAGGATACAGGCTCCTCTTTCAGTCTTCATAATCCAGGTCAACCCAAACTACCACTCCAACTCTGAGCAGAGAGGAGACTCAAACAAATAGTTGAAAATTCATCTTTCATTTCTTGAATGTTTGTTACATTTTCGATTCCTGGACATCTTTTGACTCAACTTTTCGATCATTACATAGAAACCTCAACGTACTTTAAGCAGCGCTCTTCTACATGTCAATACCACACAGGAAATATGTGTGTGTGTGTGTATCACCACTGCTGTTGACTGTGTATGTGTTTGTCAATTAAAATCTAAAATCAACGCGTTTTTTTTTTTTTTTTTTGTCTCCAACAGCGTACTAGTATGTTCCCTCTGGTGCACTGTAGTTGAGCTGCTGTGTTGCGCTGCAGCTGTGGTGGAAAAGATCAACACCACAGCGCCTTTGAAAGGCACATCTTACTTTTCAAAAACTCCCGATGGCTCAGTCGACAAGTCTAAAGCAACATGCACTCTGTGGCGAATGGAACTAAAATACCACATAAGAGTTTTAGCCACCACCTATACAAGCAGAGCACACAGGTACATCCAATCAAAGTGCCACATCAGAAAATTTTGTTCCACTCACCGCTGAGAGAAAATGACACTGAATCAAAGAAGTTAACGACAGCACCTGCTAAATGGATGGAGACTGGCTGCAGGCCAGTTAGCACTGTAGAGGACTCAAGTTTAAAAGATAGCTTCAGGTTGGCATGATGTCACTAGTCTCTAAACTGTGATCCTGTCCCCCACCTTGAAGACATCATTTCATTGGCAGTGAAGCAGTTCTCCAGTCAAGATCACACATCCCCTAGCTTGCACTAAATGGACTGCTTTGTTTGTTAACATGGGCTTAAAAACAGGTTTGACATGCAAAAAAATGTACTTAAAAAATTCAACTCCAAACATGACTGTGAATAACAAGTGAAATTCAGCAATTAATCTAGAGTTTAAAAAAATTATCATTGGACAACCCTCATTACACCCATTTTATAAGCAACACAACATTTAGAGGGCATGATGGAGGCAGAAGTTGGGTGTGGGGGTGAGATGAAGGGGGCTAAAAGGAAATCATTAGCAAGTATGGGATTCAGTCTCAGTGTGAATCAATTCATTCCAAATTGCCCTGGCCTGTACATTTGTGGAGAAGTGCCCTGATATAATAATAGACTGACAGACATGAACAAAAATTGTGTTAGGCTGGTCTCAAATTTCCCCTTCAAACACATGTTTGAAGGACCAAATCCAGAGAAAGTGAGAGACAGCGAAAAATGAAGCTCTATATTAATTTGTTGCTCTCATGGATGATTTGCTATCAGGGGCAGCTCACTTAAATGACTTAACCCAATACCTCGGTGATACCAGAGCCCTGCCAGAAAGGAATGAAGTTTTAATGCAATTACCGTGTTTCCTTTAGTCGACTGACTGCTTGATGTTCCTAACAGCAGTGCTTTTTAATCTTTTTAAAAGAGCAGCTTTAAATGCCCTTCTAATTGTGACTTCTTTGCCACCTTAATGTGACCTTTAGTGGAGGAAGTGGAGCCTCATGGGAGGAGCAATAGGGAATTATTGACCCAGAGAGACATCAGGAAGTGAGGTGTAGACCCGATCATTTAGCTCAAGTGCACATCTAGTCACACACTGCAGGAGCTTCAGCAGGCCTGCAGGAACTGAACCGTTCTGACAATGACTGTACAAAACCAACCTGCTGCATCTCTCTTGAAGGCAGTATCACGCAGAGACAGAAGCAACCACCAATAAACCTCATCACTAAGATCTGATTAGAAAGAAGAGTAAATGAGGGTTTTTTTCTTTCTTTTTCCTGACATTCACGCCTCTTTTACATCTGTCCCTTACTCTTTTACTGTGATGAAAAGAGTAAAAACAGAGCATTGGTTTTCGAAGTCTTACATTCTCTGAACGTAGCCAGTCTTTATCGAATGGTCGTAACTTTTGAAATTTAAAGGTCAGTGTCGACATTTCAATAGATGAAAAGGGTCATGGAAAACTTCATTGACATTTGCTCTGCAAAGGTTTAAAAATAACATACCGCACTGTATCAGTGTCTGTTTTAGAGCCATGGGCAAGGCTACAAACATGACATCAAAAGCACATTATGCAATTTTTGTAAAGGGGAGGGGGGCTGTTGGACGGAAATCAGCCTTTTTTTTTTCAAGACCACGGCATGCACAGACCAAACTTTCCATTCAGCTACATTTCCCTATCAGAGCTCTGTGATCACAAACATGGAAAAGTTGAGTAGGTTCAGTGGTGCAAAGCACTTGGGCAGTTAGGACAAACTCGAGCTTAAAAAAGTGTGTCGAGTGGAGAAAATACTCATAACACAGCCTCAGCTTACATGAGGGTTATCAAGGAAAATAACAGTTTCCCTGTCCCTGCCTTCTCTGCTCTGCTGCAGAAGAGAAAATGTAAATAAAAACTGAGTTCATTTACAGTGAGGAGCTACAACAACCTTTTTTTTCTTATCCAAAATGCCAGGAATGCATGATATTGATATTATTTAATTTTTTTCCCCTTTCTTGTTGTTGTTAAATTGAGTTGTATGTCTAAAATTATAGTTGAGTATGATGTGTGTTTTACAGGTTTAAGTTAAAAAAAACTGTAATTCTAAAAATAACTGTGCCTCTGTTTGGATTTCTAAAAATAAGACGCACAACAGAAAGAAACTGAAGTTCAAGGAAACACTAAAAAAAATCAGACGGTTCAACTACAAAGTTAAACACGGACTTTTAATCTCGTGAGATGTGAAGAAAAACATGTGGCACCCAGCCAATTCAAAACTAACTTGAGAGATGCAGAAGGAAGCCAAGTCTGACATTTCTTAATGTGTAACTGCCAGTCCTGCTGCCTGGGGTTGCCCTTGCTTAACTAGCGAGACAGATGACTATTAAGATAAGGACATCCCCAGCGGGGCCCCAAGAGCCCTGAGAGCCCCGATGACTAAAGGGCAGAGACTCCGTCAGTGACACCTCGCTTTCACCCACTTTATACAAAAATACTCATCTAGGCCACAAATTCCTTTTAATTCAGGTAAAAGGCCGAAAGCATGAGTGTGGGGCTGCTCTGAAAGATGAGGGTCATCAGAGATTAACCCATGGCACTTTAAGCAGAGGGGGTGCAAGAGGGGAGTCGCAGCGGAGCACAACAAACTACTTAGCCACCACAAAACATTCCAGCCCCTTCTTAGCTGCAATCCAGTAATGGATACTTCCTCAGCTCCACGATTGGTCAAAATGTTTTCATACAATAATTTAATTCTGAAACACATTTACAAAGCAGGAGTAATCAATTTTAATTAGTTGATTTTTTTTTCATTCGCATAAAATTTAATGTACTGCCATCGATCTCCTTTGTTCTTTAATGCAGTGCCTCTTTCCTGTAATTCGAAGCTTTTCTTTTTCTTTTTTTTCTTTTACAGTCAATGATGACAGTCTTTGACAAGCATCTCCGTTTACTTTTCTGTAGGAGCATTTCTCCAAACGAGATCGCTCAGGACGCAGATTAAAACCAGTGGGGTTTTTATTTGGTTTGGACACGTATATTTAAAGTTTTTTTGTTTTTTTTTTTCCCTCCAAAATCAGACATCGAACGCTTGAAATGCATGAATAAATAAAGCTGCAAATAAACCTTTGATCTACGCTTGCACTTTTTTTAAACAGGTTAGAATTCAAGTGATATAATTACAGTTTAACACCATATTATATAGTCAAATTAATCTTAATGGTGACATTTGGTTACTAAGAGATCTTTAAGAACAAATTATGAGTTAAGTGTTTCCATTTTTTTTTTTTATTTGACACTTGTTAAACAAGTTTTGTATTAAAAAAAAGAAGTGTGTAAATAAAAAACTTTGTTCATACTTCATTGTCTGTCTCTATAAAGATCCCAGAAATCTTTTAAACACCACTTATTTCATCTTCTAATATTAGCATTTACATTTTCAAAAATGTACAGAGGACAATAAAGACTAAATTATTATTCACATCCTTCAATACTAACTTTATCAACAATAACCTGGTGTGTATAAATCACTTCAGAGTTCTTTCACCCACATAAATTAAGCAGAAGTTAAGTGGCCACACTCGCGTAAACAGAACACAAAGGCTATTCTTAAAAGTGCCACTGCTCTGTGTGTTGTCCTTCAAATCATCAAGGCCCGCAAGCCTTTCACATTCAATTAGTTGATTGAGGCAAAACGCAAGCGGCACCAGCAGCAAACAACGTGGAGCTTGTGTCCGAGCGACACACCACAGAAGTTGTGTTGTGGTGTCAAAAGAGGAGCTGCCTCCGTCATGAGCAACTTACAGTGACAAGCCTATCCTCCTCTGTAGATCCAAACTGCTCCTCTGACCGAGGCAGAACCCACCCAAAGACACACACACATACACATGCATGCATGCACACACACATGCTCATGCACAAACACAGAGTAGCAACTTGAAAGTGAACCACAGTGATAGGCAAACAGAGTACAGAAGCTGAAGATGCAGCGAGTTGTGTGCAGTCCTTCCAGCCTGCCAAATTAACTAATAAAACTAGAATAGAGGCCAGTGACAATAGAGAGCGAGGTGTCCTTTTATTGATCAAATTATTCCGTCTTGGGTACACGGTGCCATCGGATGAGTGTGTGCTCACAAAGACAACCAGACAGATTGTGACATTCCACTGACATTATAATCGTGCGTCAACCCTTCTCCAGTCAATAGGCTGAATGCACTAATCGTGCGTCTTGGATCAGCAATTTCATGGTCTTCAAAGGGGGCCAGGAATTGGTGGCATGACCCTCCACACGGGGTGAGACCTGTCTTTCCTCTGCGAGTGCCACAGAGGAAAGAAGGGAGAGGAGAAGGACGGCGTTAAGAGAGACGCATGGAAGCAGGAGTGCAGCCAGAGAAGATTAACATCGCCATCTACTGGTCAGGAGTGGTACGTGAGGAGTCAAAGGGGGAAAGAAAGCCTGGCAGTTTACCCTTGCGGCCTGTCTTTCACTGAGACCTGTCAGAAACATTTAGACACACTTGCCAAGACAATGGGCCACACATCTTCAGTGGCAGATAAGTCAGACGGAAATCACTATCCACCAAGGGAGGAAACTTAAGGCAGTAGACCTTCATTTGGTGTTGGAGAAAGAGAGCAGGCAGAGTCTGTTCCTGATCACACTAAGTGACAAAGAAAAATGTTGGCTAATTCTCCTTTTCTGGAGGCTTCCAACTGCCAGTAAGAATTTAACCTCGAGAGCCGGAGAAGCATGAACGGAGTGTGGTGCTGACAGCATCAGAAAACAACACTCATCAGGGTCACAGAAGTAGCAGTTATTCTTTCTTCTCATTTTACCCTGATGCCAGAGAGGATGCAAACACGACAGCTCGTCAGATCGAATCATAATTCCTCATTTCAACCTTTCTGAACCAGTTCAGTCTACACACTGAAGGTTTCAATGGGCATAATGTCATGAAGTGACAAAAGTATGTTTGACATTTAGTTTATACATGCCACACCTAAAAATAAATCCACCTCTTTGAAGAAGTTCAGACAGAAATTTCAGGTTTTGCAACATGGTTGTCTGATGCAGAACGAAAATGACAACACATACTTTTACCTTTTCAGCTCCATACATTAGATCACACATTAAAAACCTCTTTAAAATGTCTTTTATCCTTCAGACGGTGTCTTTTTAAAGAGGAACTTTTTGTACTAATTTGTTCCAGGGAGGCCATCAGTAATAATTTATCGACAGGAACAGGGTTCACTCTGGATTAGCCTCCTAAAACGGGACGAATTAAGCAGATCAAAATACCAGAAGTGAACAAAAAAAAAGGAGTAATCAGAAAGGAATGTTGCAAGTCAATCTTGCACAGCACCCATACTTTTTGCGACTATGTTAGGAGCAGTGGTCACATTGAAGGCGTCAACACCCAACTGAACTCTACATCAACTCACGTGGTGACGGGAAAAAATACATGTTTTACCAGGCTCCTGCAAAAGAAAGAGTGGAGGAGACAACCCACAGTGAAGCACTATAATGTCACACAGGGTGGCGTGTTACAGCAAAGGGGCTGAGTTGGCAAGCAGCTCAGCAGCAGACGCACACCTGTTCTGACATTTTCTGTCGACCTTGACACAGTAAACACATGACAATGCCACTCTCTGCATTTCAAAAGTACAAGCTGCTTGATGAAGCCCCTTCACTTCTCCTTTTTTGTCTCCATGATACTTAAAACTACTCTGCACACAGTTAAAGAAGGGAAGAAAACAATGACATAGTCCCGTGGCCGTGAAGAGGGGTGGACAGAAGGCGAGTCACGTAGTGGCAGTAAATAACACAGACAAACAGGGAGTTATTGGGAAGACATACTAAAATCTGATACCCATATTTGGAGAGAACCAACGGATGTGAGCTCCTTCCTCTTTAACTCCTTTAAAATCTTAAATTTTCCTGTAAACCATCTGGCCTTAGCTTTCCCCTGCTTTCTCTTATCTACCTCTCACCCTTTCTTTTGAAGTTTATGGCAGAGCCACAATGCATCCATCCATCGACTATTTTAATCAAAGAGAAAGCAAAGTACTGCTGCCAGGAGAGCTGCATACGAAAACAAATGCAATCTTCCTGTTAATCACTGCATTAACAAGAAGTCAAGAGTGTTGACGCACAGAACAGGGAGGGGAGCCAGTCCAGGTGTTGGATAATTGTCAGTTGTGCCAGTGGCTATGGATGCTTTTTTACTGTGCCAGCCTCTGTTTCAATGCTGGTCTACACTTGTGCCCCACCTTAATGATAGCTTTTAAAAGTCCTGTTTCTGCTGAACACTGCACACAGACACAAAGAAGTATTGGCAAGCCTTCTCCATGCTGACTGGAGTGGACTATGGATGAAAGCGCACAGGTCTCAGTATAATCAATGCCAAGGGAAGTGGATTCATTTTCATGAGACATGTGGAACATTTAATTTAGATGAAAAGCCAAGAAACACATGAAAAACAAATACAGGCTTTGTAAATTTTCTGGAACAAGTCTATATATCCTCTTTCTCGCTAACAACCATGTACTAGGAACACATCATGGCCCAAAGGCAGCGCGCTAACTTGTCAGAAATGGTTCAAGTTTTCTCTTTCTCAGAAATGAAACTCCTGCAGGTGTGGATGATGTCATTCTGAGAGACGGAGATGAATCGCAGGCCTTCTCATTATAACACACTGAAACTTTACAGTTTGCAGTCAGTGTACTGTACTGCCGTATCAAGCATCTAAAGCTGGGCTAATTGGAGTGCAGAATCTTCATTTAAGTGCTCTATTTTTCGCGGGTTTTAAGATAATTTATCTCAGTTCCTGTTTTCTGTCACTTTCATTTTAGTCTAGAGTAGCCCATTATCTCTTTTTTCCAGATTCCTCAGATAAAGCCACAATCTCAGGGCGCCACACACAGAGAAACTCTGAAATCCCATTAGCATTTTGCTTTCATTATTTTTAATCAAACCCAGAAAACTGACACATATTAATTAATATCCATTACCAGTTTTTTGCCCCTCTCTGAGAGAAGACGTTGGGGGGAAAAGAAGCAATTAACTTAACAAAATAATCAAAAAAATTATTTCAGAAATCCCTGATAAATGTCATGTGAGGTCCCGTCTAAATGTAAGAAGTGTAATACATTCTTGCTGTCATATTCCATTAAACTGCTATTACAGTCTTGATAGAACTATTAGTCACTACATTATTAATAACATTAATGTATTTACATTTTTGGTGTACAAGCCTGCTTTCATGCAATAATTTATGAACCCGACTTCAGATATGTTATAACGCTCACCCATCTCAGCTCTTTTGTGTTTATTATTGATTGTGAAAACAGTCAAAATTCCAAGTCACATCCCCCTCTGCCCTCCCCCAACCACCCTTAATGTATTGGAGTGGGCTGTTTACATTAAAGGAGTGGAATAAAGTGCATTTACATCTGAAGCATAACTTCATAATTTACATTCCAACATTTATTAGAGGTGACAAACGAGCATTTGGTCCACTCGTGCTTTTCCACAATGCAGCACTCATTCAATCCATATAAATTACAGCTGGGCTAGGGAGTGCAAGAGCAAATTATTTTATTATATTTATGCATGTATGACTCTATAGGGGGTTACTAAGACAAACAGGGAATTACTTGATTAGGCCAACTGTGGTTAACAAAGAAAGAAATATGAGACTCAGAGTTGGGCCAATCAAATTTCAGGATTATTTAAATGTTTGGCCCTAATTCAAATATCTCAAGTACAATAATCTTAGTGTAAAAGCTTAAGATCTATAGGACTTATAAAGTGAGCTAAATGAAGACGATATTTTACACAAGACTACTGTGGATTTTACACATTATAGAGAGCTATTTTTAGCATTGCTGTTCCAATAGCTCACTTTCAGCAAGAACTAATATTATTCAATTAAAAGAAACTTGCCTAAAAGGCAGTATTACATTGCATAATTAGACAGGGCAGCATTTTCAGAAGTGTAGTTACAAATGCGCTGAGGGGATCCCAGCATTTGAACAAATATCTGGCGCTGTAGGGGAGCTTGCCGACAAATTAACAGCTAATAACTTACTGGGAAGCAAGATAAAAAGAGAAAAAAATGTTCCCCAAAGTGTCAATTACAAATAATTTTTCCTCTGATTTTCACACTCGTGAAAGCATGGTGTGCTTTAAAAGCATTTTGAATAGTGTGCAATGTTGTTCATTTATTTCTTTTCTTTTTTTTCTTTTTATCCATTTTCACACTCTAAAATGATTCAGAGGAGACATCATTCAGCTTCAGCAGCAGCAAGATTCTTGAGGAAAGCTGTGGAAGCTGGAGCATATGGTTCTCTCATGAGAACACTCGCTGGTCAGAGGGAAGAGAGACGCCAAGACGGGGGAAATGAAGGGGGATTCAATCAAATTCATGTTCATTAAAATCAGAGGACATCACAAAAATGAGAAAGATGCTGACAAATCAAAGGGTCTCAGCACCTGAATTACCATAGTCATTTACTTATTAAAGCTAGGATGCTTCCTGTCAATCAAGAGCCATCACATTCTCCATTTGCGGCGGAAAGCTCGCGTAATTGCTTCTCATACTAATCAACACAACTTGTGTAATTATGCCTTGAAAGTGACATTGGAGGCTGAGAGCGATGTGAGCAGTCTTGACAGCGGAGACATCTCAGATTCATCGGGAGATTTCCAGCCTCGCTGCAAGGAGACAAGCCACGCTCAGACCAAGTTACTCACTCGAGCAGTTTACAACCATAAACACAAAGAAAAGACAATAAATCAAGCTGAAGTAATTACAAAGCAGAATAGAGAGTAGAAAGGAAGCTCAGCTCAATAAGGCCACTTTCCCAAGTATATTGAGGCAAAATGACTACGCTGTAATTAAACTGGTGTCGTATTTCTGTCATTTCTTAAGTAAACATATTATGACAGTTCACTAAATTGTGGGAGAATAGGAAATTACAGCTCTGTTACCATGCCGTTTACATTAATATACTTGCTGAGACGAAAAACCCTACAAATAAAGTCCTAAGTATTCATTAAAGTTTATTGAATTCAGCTTAATCACAGACTTTACATGTGTCTCCAAAATGAACTTTGCGTGAAACTAGCTTAAACATTCCACTGAGCATTGGACAACTATCAAAACCATATTCCCAGGCTGCATCTGTCACGAGTCACACTGCGGCCCAGCCAAGAGGGTCACAGGGAGGTCAGATTACTGCTACAAATCAAGAGCCTCAGGTCATGACATGAAACCCTATCTACATAAAATATGTGTATTATTGGCATGCACTAACAACAGCTTCTAGTTCACATATGATGAATTTTACAGTGAATTAAAAAAGATTCCCAAAGCACCTCTCAAAATCAAAGATAAAAATGTCATTGTCAGGGCAGATCTGGTCCGGCTCTGCACATGACAGAGAAACCACAAAATAAATAAAATGTATAAAATGGGTTGGACTCATCTGTGCGCATCATTTTCAAAGCAATGGGAGGAACCGCGAGGGGAAAAAAAGTCACCAACATCAAAAAGAAGTCGACTGATAATTCTGGCATACCATGAGGAGAGTAAGAGTAATGATTTCATCTGCGAACAGAAACAAGGATGAGAGATTTATGGCTCGTAAAAAAGTTCAAACGGCAGAAAAACCAAAAATCTCTGTCTGTGTCATTCTTCACTCATGACCTCCAAACTTCAGCACATGTTAAAGACAAAGTAAAGAAGTGCTCCTTTGTGGCCAAATCTGAGAAAAACAAGCACAGTTACTGACATAGAAAACAGAGGCTTTTACAGGAAAAGCCTGTGTGATTCACCCCCCTGCGTTCAACTCTAATGAGTCAAAAAGTGTGACCTGCACTTAAACAAGAAGTCACAGCCAGAAGCTGTAAACTCATTTTCCCCATCTGAGCCAGCAACGTCGGCAGGACCTGGAAGATGTGCTCCGAGCATGCACGATAAATCTGACGTGAAATCATAATCATAAAAGCAATTAGCTGACCCTGCGCCACTCGTCCTTGGACATGACAGTGAGAATTCATACAGAGTCCTCTAAGGAGGCTAGCTGCAGGGTTGGGCGAGGAGGGGAAAAAGTGCAACACAGCAACAATAAAATGGAGGGCCCTTCCTGTATCATTAACCACCGAAACAAACAGCGCATGATGCACAATGAGTGTTATGCTGAGAAAACAGAGAATAGAGCGTCTTTTGGAGCAAAGAGAAATCTTCAGCATGACCCCTGAAACAGACTGAAGAGTGCAGATGTGTCACATGCAAACCTATGGGCCGACAGAACAGCACTGATGCAATATCTTCACTACATTAACCCACACTCATATATACGTACAGAAAACATCCAAACAAAGTGAACTCATCAGAAGTTAAAAACAAGAAATATAATGATTTATGGTGCTTTTTCTCCATGCTCCCATAAAGCAGTGTGACAGGATGTTGTCCCGGAAACGGCAGGTGTTCAGATTTATTCGACTTTTCTCGTTCCAGACACGCAAGAATCAGAAATCTCTCTTCACACACCCTTGCATGCACGCACACCCATACACAGTTTCATCGCCATCACTTCCCACTCAGTAATTACAGCGAGGCCGAACTAGTGGCTGCCACCTAGTGACCGTCTTCTCCAATAATCATGAAATATCACTATGGCTCGCGCCCCCACTCGGACCATAACTCTCCTTTACTGCAGACAGCTCCAATAAAGGATTACAATTACAATTAAAGTAATGAGCAAAGAGGAAAAAAGGAAAATCTCACAGAAGGTTCCCTTGACTAGCTAAATGGTAGCCCTGTTTCTTGACAGAATAGAGTTACCATACCAGACTCATTACTGACTCCCATTTCTTATTCTGCCCTAATAATTAATTTGGAGCATGTTGAAACCAAGAGTCCTCCAAAATTAAAGTAATGGGTTTAAAAGTGATGAATGTGAAATGGATTGAAATATGAATTATCAAATAACAGATTAACTTCTTGTTACTTTTGCTTTATGGTGGTGCAAATGCATAAAGGTTCAAATCACTTAGAATGTAATAAATTCCTTCTTTTAAATAGTGCAGGATATTTCACCCTGTAGAGAGGCGCGCAGATTGTTTTTCAGAGAGTGTTTTTTCACAAACATGTGCCCCATGTGGAGAGCCATTCAAGACTTAAAAAAAAAGCTGAGTCATGAACCCCAGCATAACCTCTGACTTCCTGGTATCACCACTGTGCTACATTTGTGATACACCCACGCACAAGTGATAAAAAAAAAAAAATTCAGAGGGAACATATGATGAACATCTGTCTGCCTGCTTCACAGGGATCAGCAGAGGAGCAGTCAGGAAGGGAGAGGTGAAATGAGGAGAAAAAGAAGCAGTGAAAGAGAAAAAGGGGAACAGTAGCACACTGGCTGGACTGCTTTCCAACCTGCCAGGTCCCCCACAACTCCTGCACTTATCACACTGTTCCTTCCCCCCTCTGACGTGCGGTGGCTATTGCAGTGGGGCTACGGAAATTTGGAGACTGCTGAGCCAAAACAGATCACTTCAAAGCGGCTTATTTAACGCTTGCTAAATTTTTCATCACAGTCGCTTAATATCCTGGGGAAGAGGAGCTTTTGAAGTTGCTGTGAGACCGGGGATGTTCTTCTTACAATTCTTTTTCCCCTCCCATTACCACCCTCCCTTTGCTGCGCAAAAACCCACAAACCCAAACACATACACACACTCAGTTAAATCTACATTTGCACAAACCGAGGTGTGCAAATGGTACATCTGCACACTCCTGCACACATAAACCGCTTGCATCCCCACATGTTTGGGGCTATGAAGTGTAAGCCTGCAGAGAGCAAATGACAGGACAAACAATCAGACAAAACAAGGGTTTGTAGACTGAGCTAAAAGGCCTTTTTTTCATATTATGATATTTCAAGACTGCTATTTAACCACAAATCTTAAAAAACACTGTGCAAATGAACAGATAATGAACTAAATTCCAGCTTTTTTTGATTAAAAAAGAATCAGTTAGCTGATCAAATCAGTCATCACAGTTTTAGGTTATAAATTTAAAATTTGAATAACTTGCAACAGCCATGAAACTTGAGGACAAAAACATTTTAATTAAATTTATAACAATTTCAGACCAAAAACCACAACATTCTTCTGTGTAATTATGTCAATATTAAGGGTGGGTATGGCAGGATAACTCGTGATACTAAGTTTATACAGTACAATATGATAGGATGATGCAGGGGGGAATAACATAGCGACATGAAGATACATTTTCATCCCAACTTGTGTGAAACAATTATCCATGTTGGTCCTAATTATAAAAAGTATTTTAGCTGAAACTACCATGAAGCTTTTCCTGCCAGCTTGACTCACCATGTCACTACTTCTTAACTCCTCATGGTGGCAGATATCACATGAAAAAGGTGAACCAGAGGGTAGGCCTACTCTTCAGTCAGTCAGATATCCTGATATATGAATGAATGCTTGAGTAAAATTTCAATTCCAATGAGCCCAAGTAAGAAAAAACTCAGAAAACAGAACTGAATTAGGATGAAAGTCTATGGGTATATGATGCCGAATCAATTTGCTGCATGTGGTTAATGTTAGCAGAGCTAGCAACCCCAGCCTTCAAGCCTACTTGCAGGTCAACATCCACATGCCTGTGCTGGTTACATGTTGTAATGGTTGGGTTAACATGTAACCAGCATACAAGCAACTTTGTTTACATTTTTTCTATTGAAATTCTTGTTCTTTTCTACTGCGTTCAATACATTCTGTGACTCAACAAGACTCACTTTTTCAGCTAAGTCACCCAACCAGTCAAACATTCTGATTTCTCTTTGGTTTCAGAAGCTCCAGATCCTCAGAACATCAATATTTCTTACATATGTGCTTTCTGTATACAATATTGTATTAAAGGAAAATCCCTGAGCACCTCAAATCAAATACACAAGTCCATTCTCATTCAACCCGATTCAACCTGATGGAAATTGTGTATTTTGCACTCAAAGAGACAAAAGAAATGCTTTCTGTTTCATATGTAATTTTAAAAAATATGGAGGAAAGGACAGGACCAAAGTTCAACTTTAACGCACATCGTTTTAAAAAGCATCCAGAAAAGTAAGCAAGTGAGACACTATAGCTAGCTAACCCACTTCAACTGTTGATTATGTTCCTGTTAGAAGGTTTAGTGCAGTGTTAGCAACTGCACACTCATCCATCAGGTCAAAGATGTTTGGTCAGTGTAAATTATGCTTCCTAGCTTATGGCTGCAGGTATTTTTGACTGAATTCGACACCTGCAATGATCCCACTGCAAGTGAATCGATCTCCATGTTGAGAGGTGTGGAACTCATTTATTCACAATATACACCACTACAGCTTTACTGATAATTTTGATTTCTAAACATGCTGATGAGATCAGTCAGAATCTAATGTTAGTAAATAAGGTGTGGCATCTTTGGTGTGGCCAGCAGTCCTTCTTATGGGAAATAATGTATACAAATAATAAGGGCTCAACTCAAACTCAACTAAACACTTAGCACTTCAGGTTTGGTGACTTGGAATGAATGGAAATGCCCTTCAAAGTAAAGATCAGGATTAGTGCCACTGGGTCAGAGGAAGTGACGCTGCAACCCAAATAGGAAAGAGTGATACATTAATCTTATAGTTAAAGTACTGATCTTACACACTAGACATACAATATTTGTATTGCAGGAGTTTTGCCTACCACTTGTCAATGTAAAGTCGACCTGCTTTCTGATCTGATCCTGTGACTGAGAAGATTTTCACAGTTATTCTTGTTTTGAAATGTTTAAAAGAACTTTTGACCTCAGCAGGTCCACACTGAATGGATGAGATGAGGGGTGAGAGCAGGGTATCAGTGCATGAGGGAAGCACAAAGACTAGGGAGAAACAGGGGAGAGAGAGGGTGGTAAAGGGTTAAAGGCATGCGTGCATGTGTGCGTGTGTTGGGGGGGTGTAGATGAAGAGAGACCAGGCTGGGGTGAGAGTGAGCAAAGAGCAGAGCCAGAGGCAACAGCAGCGGCTGGCAGAGGCTGGGATACCAGTCATCTATGGAACACACACTCACACTGTCTCTCCCACCCTTCCTCTCTTCCTCTCTCTCTGTCCCTCTCTCTACAACTGCAGGTCCAGACTGCCCCCCCTGGCCTGGAGGGGGGCAGAGGCTGTGGCACTGGCCCCTGAGCTGGGCCCTCTTGCCACAGAGGAGAGCCCACGCCGTGCACTGTGCCAGGGCCTGCTGATCTGGGTGAGGTGAGTCAGAACCTGTTAACATGACTGGTGTCCCCAGCCTGACACACTGGTTTGTCTGACATGCACATGTGCACATAAATGTACAATGCAATTGTGTGTGCACCCTCTCTCTCTCTCTCCCTCTCTCTACCCTCCCAACCCTGCCAGCACTCCCTTTCCTCTCATCCAGATAAAATCCTTTCAGACACAAATTTCAATTATTCACCTCATCCAAATAATGCCATGTGACAAGAATTATCCCTACTGTAATAATCCACTTAACTGGGAAAGAGCAGCTCATCAAAAAGAGAAAGGAGAAAAAAAGGGCTGGAAGTGATGGTGGTGGGGGAGACTTGTCAACCAGTCTCGAATCAGGACCCTCATAACAAGAATTTCTTCCCTTTTTGAGGAGGCAGTCTTGAAGCGCAGTGGGATGATGAAATTGAAGTAAATTGAAAGAAAGCCTGGGAGAATGCTCCCACAATCAATAACCCCAGGATTAAATTAGCCTTGGCATGAAGGGATGATGGGGGGAGGATGAAGAGTGAATGGTGGTGAATGACATTGAGACATGTAGGCTGAACAATGCAGCACTGCTCCAACCTGGATGTGTTGTCCACACAAGGACAGTGAATGTACCTGTGATGTATTTCATATCACTTAGCGATAAGACAGTCCTGGCTATGATCATTATCATCACTTGAATTATCTTTTTTTTTTAGACACTTTATTTAAACAGAAATAAAACGTTGTGATTACTTTGTATTAAGATTTGACCGACCAACTTCTGCAACTTTTAGGCACATAAACCTCTGTGCCCGTCAGCTGAACGGAAACTTTTGTTTCTTCAAAATTAAGAGCTGTCTCACCTATGAACATCAACAATTAGTGAAAATTAATCATCTTATTTCAACAACTGCAATGTGAAAGCTGGAACTAAACATAACGATATAACAGCACTGCGAATATTTGCAAATGTTCAGTTGTTTTAACACTACATCTACAAGAATGATCAGGGAAACTTTCTTTGAGTGCTGTAGGCAGAAGAATTAGAAAAACTGTTTTTGGTGTAATACCTGCTGCTCGCTTACTTTACTACAAAGTGAACAACACCCAGCTCACCAGAAAGACTTTTACTGATAGTAAGCTGTACTTTGTTAACCAGCTAACTCACCAACCCTGTCAGAATTCATTCAGTTCCAGCTGTAGTCAAGTACAAGATTATAAAGATGAAAATTGAAGACAAAAAATTGTTCATGATTTGTCATTTGCACTGACTTTTAAAAATAATCTTAGCAAAAAGAAACCTTGTCTGAAGCACGAGCTCATCCCAGTGATGAAGTCAGCAGGCTGTGATTGGTCGACTTTGTTTTGTTGGGAAAAATGTTCCAGGATCAAGTATGGAAAGTTGATCCAGGACCATTTTCTTTTTCAAAAGTGTATAAGTTTTTATAGTTTAACTTTATTTACACTTTTCCTCTTTAAGTGTCTGAAGACTATCTGCAAACCTGTATGTGATAAGTTTTGCCCCATCTCAGGTCATTATCCAGACTGAAAAACAATCCTGCAGAACCTCTAACTGAACTGGTACGTCAGGGCACACGTGGCATGATTAAAGCAATCCTGAAACTACTCTGATAGAATAAAATCTGTCCTCCAATCCTTGTGCTCTGCTAAGACAAGTTCACTCTCATTATGGGCGGGGGGACATCAGTCTAGTGCTCAAGTTACTTTTTGCTAATTGGATGCTTTTAACACTTGATCTCACAGGAGAAATGAGTGATATTTAAAAAGAAGGAAGGAAAAAGTCAGGTGGGAAAAGTTTAGATAATGAAGAGGTGAGGGCAAACTCGTTCAAGTCAAAAGAAAATACATATAGTTTTTCTCTACATACAGAAGAAGAGCCAGAACATTATGAACATTTGTCCATTTTTGTTGACATAAACAGAGAGTTGATTATTGTTCTTTGTATTCATTATTGAAGATGTAGTAGTGTAATGGAATATGCTACATAAATTAATGTGCCTGAAATTGTCGACTTCATGAAAAAAAAAAAACCTTTATTCACTTTATGCATTGCCTGTAACACTGCTTGGCAGTACCTGCGTCTAAAAGGACCTGGAGCACTTTGTGGCTCTTGCTACTCTTGTGTAGATCTTCGCTTGTGTTGTTCTTGCTCTGAAGAGTATGTTGCTTTGGATAAAAGTGTCTACTAAATGACATTATTTTAAAAGTGTAATAAAAAGTCGACTTTGTGGTAGAGCTGTGGGTGGAATATGTTGCTGTAGCTGATATTTTTGCTTGTTGCTAAATCTGAGCAAAGCAACAGACTAATAAAATAAAATAAAATAGGGAAAAGGTTGTTTCTTAGTTATTCCAGTAAAACAGTTTCTTACCAATGCTTCTCTAGGAGGAGCTGCCGGAACATCTCCAGGTGGAGGGACAGGCTGAGAAAAGAAAGAAATATCTTGTATTAGACTGCCATCTAGTGGAAAATAAAGGCTTTGCTGGTTTAATACAGGAACAGATTTTTTTAACTAGGAGTGACATTATCTATCTATCTATCTATCTATCTATCTATCTATCTATCTATCTATCTATCTATCTATCTATACATTATTAATCCTGCAGATATTTGTGAATGAATTATTAATCCTGCTGAAAAATAACCTAAACTAAACCTAAAGACACTAAAAAAAAATAATCTAAAGTTGAAAGACACATAACACAAACATCTTTTCAGTATGATAGGAAAGAGAAACGTAACATTTCTGTCTCCTAACAAATATGTTGTTGTTTAGCTGCTGACCCAGTTTCTTGAAACACCTAAATACAAGTAAATTGTACAATGTCGATTTGTAATACTTCAGACCTTTATTTTTGTTTCATTGAATGCTTACTTCATATGAAAATAATCATACAAAATTTCAAAACAAGTACTTAACATGGTCTCAAGTCTTGGATGGCTACTGTCTGGTGTTGTTTGAGTGTAATGACTGTACAGTAAATAGTTTTAACCACGGTTTAGGAAACTGTTTGGACAATGTTAACATTCAATAGCCATCATGGATATGGTCCTTTTCGTATTCTCCCCTTTTGCTTCTTTGATTATGTGGGTTTTACAACAAATGTAACTTCTGAATGGGTTATTATGAACCATGCAAACTTGGAGGCTGAAGAGCACATTATGTACAGCATGCTGACATGGGTTCAAAGTATCATAAACATGGCAGCGTGAGTGCGAGTGTGTCGAACTTCTGTTGCAAATATGAGCCCAGACTTCTCGTACAGTCTACTTTCTGCGGATGACCAGTGCCCGTTGTGACACAGGTCCGAGAGGAAGTTACACAGGTACAAGTTTGTAGGGCTAACAATGACCTTACCCCATAATCTTAACAAAACACAGAGGGCTAAGTAACATCTCAAATGCATACACGGACTTATAGTCGAGGTAAATAGCAAACATTAGTCAACCAGATAAGCAACATGTGGACGCACTAAAGTGTCAGCTCGGCTCTTTATGTCCACTTGTAAACTCAAGCTTGTCCGAAAGACAACTTTTGAAACGCTGCAGGAGTTAGCATGCTATCTTAGCAGGTATGCTAACCCTCACTAGCTGACCAGTTACAACCGTAACTTAGGAGAAACCATGGGTCTGAAAACACTAACACACGACATGAATGTACTGTTTTACAGGCATCAAGAGATGAAAGCTGAAATGACATAAATCTACACCTGTGTTGGTGGATCAGGTTGATCGGTAGATGCCATCTTGCTTCCTATCCCTTGTTTGCTCACTGACTGTTCGAGTTGATCGCGCTCGATTGCTTTTCCTGAATGGGATCAACCGCGCTAATTCAGTAACGGAGCAATAACGGAAAGTAACAAATTAAAGTAGAATAGTTTAACATAATTACCTGACAAGTCCGTATCTTATTGAGTGGGATTGCGAAGCATTGCCAACTACTCAACTACTTCCACATACTTCAACGAATTCAAACCATTCAAACTTCAAAATGTTCATCCCAATGAGGACATTCGGGGATGTATTCAAAATTTTCCTAACATTTAAAGTTTCCGAGATATTCCTGGTTTTCCGACCGATTTCTCCCATTAGAAATGCATTACGGATGTTCAAAACGGCTCTTTTTCTCACATTTTTTCACACAACTTCAAAAGCCTCCAACTCCTCTATACTTCCATGTAGAAACGTCATTAAAACTTTAAAACATTCACACACCTTCACACATTCATTCATTAATTCACCATCTTCATAGCATTCATACTTTTCTCACAGTGACAGTTCAAACAGTCATGGGATTTTCTGACCTCTTGAGGTTTTAACATTAGTGTGTATTGCGTGGAATGTTGGCAGCTTGAGTGGATGACCTCATTGCTAGAGTGGGAGAGGATGAAAATTTATCCTCAAAACTTTGTCTTTACAAAAGGATTGTGGCAACTCACTTCACTCTACACAGATAATATTTGGTACTGTGATGGCAAAACTTGCTATCATTTTATATGCAAGATGAATATATCATGTTTGTATGTGAATTTAAGTTCATCTAAAGAAGAGAGGGAGAGAGGAGGATAGTGAGAATAGAGACAGAGAGGACAAATTGAGTGCAAGAAAACAGATAACTTCTTTCTCAGCCTGAACGAACCAAACAGTGTAATACCATCTGTTATCACCCATACTTTCTGCCCAAATTCTCTCTTAAATATTCATACATCATTGTCTAGTTCATTATTGCTTTAATATAATCTTTCAAAGAAACCAAATTTTTGTCAGTGATAGTTAAGTGTTTATTCATTATAACCGTACTGAAGAAAAGATTGCTCATGTAGCTTTATTGTCTCCATAGGTTAAACTGTAAAGATTGTGTGCGTAAAAGATGAATATTAACCCATGACAAACCATAAAACTAAAAGGCAAAAGTATTAAAGTTATTTCAAAGTACCCCATTGTTGAGACATAACCTACTACTAAGGTTTTTTTTTTTTTTTGTTGTCCAGGTGGTGCAGAAATGGTCCTGCTACATCTCAGACCTAGTAGGTGGGGCTGAACATCTGACAGTGCCGGATTAAATCTATAAAGAATAAAATTTAACTGGAAACTCTTGTTGAACTGTACTACATAAACTTTGTTAAACTTGAAAAGATGTAAAATTGTGTGTTGCTTTTTTATAGGAAACACATGATGTTTTTAATAATATAGAGTTATGAATGCATATTATAACATTTATCCTGGCAGTAGATAAAGTAGGGTTTATTATTTCACAATATTTAGAATTTTTGAAAGAACTTTTCTGTGTTTCAATTTTATTTGAAACCTGAAGTACTGTTGATCTATAGTTATGATTTCAATATTATTTCAATATTAATTGAAGGTCCATAACTGTTTTTGAAACAATGTGAGATTCTGATGTTGATTCATTATTAACATAGTTGACAGCTCAACACTGATTCGACAGTGTTTTTAGGACATCTTGCTGTCTGGAGGTAGTAAGATGAAATTTTCCCAGTATTGCTATAGGAATAAAAATATATCAGTCTTTTCAGCAAATTTCTTTAGATGTCCAACCGAACAAATCATGTTTGGTTGAACATTAAAAGAAAAGTGAGGGACTTGGCATCAGTAATGAAACAACAAAATGCATGATACACCAAGTCAAGGGTTTGCTCAGTGGATGAGGAAGCATCTATAGACAGTATATTCCTGCAATCAATCACAGACAGAAATGTAGCCTCCAGAAGTTTTTTTCTTGATACTGAAATCTTTCTTTTAGCAGAAAATGATCTGTTAAAATTACCAACATGTGCAAACTGAGGGCATGAGTCTTCTGACATGATAAAAAAGTAATATCACACCATTGGATTATAAAGAAAAAGAGTCTCCATGACTTGTACATGAGAGCAATAGATCCTCAGTTGGTTTAACCTACGGATTAACTGATAATAAAACAATTTGTTGAAGAGGAAGCTGTAGAGAGTTAAAAGTTGTGACTCTATTGTTTATTGTATGATATTTTTTAAATATATTTTCACCAGGTTGACGCTGGATAAAAGTCAGATGTATATAAAATGTATATGATGTCAGCTGAAATACGATTTTGCTGAAGACCAGGGAGCAAAATAAGGTCTCTAGTTACCAGCAGCAGGAACTTTGGAATGTGATGGAAATAAATCCGAGTGTAAGGGGAAGTTCCACAGTAGTAGTTGTTTGTTATCTGCAATAAGCATATTTTTAATCTCTTTCTGGTTTGCTATTTGTGCCATGTGAAAACCATAGACTGTATATACACTCTATGGTGAATACCTTCCCAGGACTGTACAAATCCACTCGGACTTGCCGGTGCCTGTGGGGCTAAATTTCTCCAGAAGGTGGCAGTAATGTGACGCAGAGAACGCCGGGCTGCTGTCAGTGCCAAACCTGAACCAGAAGAAGACAACGCGGCGGTTCCGTGTTCAAAACTACAAGAGACAAGACTGTAGGCGAGAGTTGCGGTCGGTACTTACTTGTTTTTCTTCTAAGGAAGGAGGAAAAATACATTTGCAAAAAGCCCAGAATGTCAGATGGGAAACCGTGTAAAGTGTGCAATTTCACGCGACAGAAGTCATATGGGTTGGCAGTTCCGTCACTGGAGGAGCTGAAGGTAAAAGGTAAGTTATCATAGACGGTTTTTAACTTGTACACAGTGTTGTCATTGGAGTAGAAAGTACAACAATGTGGCTTCTGTTTAAAATAGAGACTGTGCCTAAAATGAGATGATTCAGAGGATTCAGGCTAACCCACTCTAAGCTGTCATCTTGATTTATTACTGGTCTATTGTTATTATAACTAAGTAGCGGGTTGTTGTTTAATATACTGGTGCGTCACAAATATGCTCTATGGATCTTCAGGACTGTGATCAGCCTGTAGCAGTACTGCCATGATGATTTTACTGCACACTTTAGCTCACTTATCTGTCATGATCGCAAATGAGCTCTACGCGGCTACATTTTCGTCGTGTTCTAACTTGCAGGGACTAAACTTGAGAAGTTAGGAAAGAAAGATTTCCCTCCAGCTCTGCTCATTCTTTGAATACTAGTCACCAGGCGTTGCCCAGATCATTGCACTGCTTACGGTCTCTGTCCACTGGAGATGCCTGCTTACAACGTGTATTACATATGCATAAGTGGGTTTTAACAAAGGCTGCAGTCGAAGGTAAACGTTTTTAATGCCAAAATGGATCCTGAATGGCATAAAAAAGTAACCTCAGGCAGTTCTTTTACACAGTAAGCCACCAAGGTTGTGGGTGTGAAGCTGAAACTACTGTTGCACTTGAAATTTGCTGATTGTTGAGACACGTGAAGTGTACAGTTGCTCTTCTCCTACCCCAGGGTGCGAGTTTCTTGGTTTCAACCCCAGCGAACCAGTCACAGTGGTCCTGGAGGATGATGGGACGATAGTAGCGGATCAGGGCTACTTTCTGTGTTTACCCACAAACACAAAGTTCATGCTGCTGCATGAGAGAGAGGCATGGTCTCCAGTCCGCAGGAGTAAGCAGATCATTTCTGTATGAGATTTAAACACAACATAGAGTCCTGTGTTTAGGTACTGAATTACTTCTTGTTGCAGTGGATGGTGGCACCGCCTGGATGGCCAGGGACTCTGTTTTGCTAGAGACTGACACGGTAGACACGTCAGGTTCTGCAGCACCATGGTGGGACTTGGCTCAGCAGCTGAGGCAGGATCTTACCAGCATCATCCTCATGTCTGAAGCAGATTTACAGGTATTAACACTGTTTCTGGAAGCGTTTCCTGTCATGACGTGTGAAAACAGAAAAAAAAGGCTTCAGTTGAAAACCACTTTACTTTGTGAAAATAATCTTACTTACTTGACTTCTGTGTTTATTCCTGTATTTTTTTCTGTTTCCCTTTTAATGTCAGTGTCAGATAAACACCATCAGTATTGTTCCTAAATTTAAAGTATATTATTACACTGCAGTGTTGAATGCCTGATTCTGATCGGCCAGTTATGTATATAAGAGATCTGCTACTCCTTGAAAAGAGAGCACTGCTTGAATGACCAGAGCTCTGCTAGGGCACAGCTAGAATCACAGATTTCAAAGGACTGTAATAAAAGGAAGTCACAGAAAGACATCTAGCACATTCGAAGTTGGTCTGTTTGACTATATTTTATGTTTGTTCCTTACTTACTGCTTTAAGTGTGATTTGTATCATCTGTGTCAGTCCTTAGTGGATGCCCCAGGTCCTGAACTAGCATCTGCTCTAGGATTCCAAGAGAAGAGGACGGCAGACCTCCAAGAGACACTGCAGAGGGTTCTGGACCGACGAGAAGAGGAGAGGCAATCCAAGGAGTTGCTCCAGCTTTACCTCCAACATGTGGAGAAAGAGGATGAACAGCAAGGAGAGCAAAGTCAGCCTGGTCAGGAAGGTACAGATGTATCAATAGATGGAAATCTCACTGTTGGATTTGTGGATCACGGCTTGCTTGCATCATAAATAGACCAGAAAATATTTGCCTGTTTAGTGTACATGAGTTAAAGACAAAGTCAACATATTAAGCTGTAAGGACTGGAAATCTGATTAAGAAACCTAAAAGACATTCTTGATGAATACTTTCAGTTTTTTTCAGCTACAATAACCAATTTTATCTAAACACAAAGGTCAAATTTAATTGGATTTACCTGTAAATTTACAGTGTTCATTGAGGTATAAGCTAGTGTGACTCATTTTTTTTTCCAGAGCCTTGTAATTCCTGGATTGCGTTTATCTAGAGAGCTGTGTGTGTCCCTTTTGGTCACTAGGTGGAAGCAGTGCTGCTGCTAAATGATGTCACTTGCTGTAGTGATTTATTACAAATATTCTTTCTTATAACAAATAAGGCTGAAAGTGAACCTTTTTGATGTGACAGGGGCTGCAGCTGAAGATGTGACAGATGCAATGGAGGTGGACTCTGCATCCGGATTTGTGTGCAGGACACTGATGGTACTCAAAGGCAAAACAAGCCCAGAGACTAGACTTTCTACCGAGGACCTGCAGGTAATCCACTGACATTACTGATCTGAGAGTGCCTCAAAACATTCACACATTCACATATACTATTGGAGTTCATCCATGTGCATATGAATTCACCATACATTACTGGAAATGCCTCTGAAAATTTAGTCTTTAGAAACTTTACATAGTAAACGCAGTGCAACCTGATTGAAACAGAGAAACAAAGGTGCATTTACGTGTCTTATCAATGCGGGACTGCTCTTTCTCTGTGCTATACATTTATTTATTTCAATATCTAACTTTATAAATGATGAAGAAATGTGTAAAACTGCAAGTCTAGAGCCAACGTAGGCAAACTTAATTAGAGACACTTAGATAATCCAAAGGCTTTAACATTATGTCTGCTTGTGTTTGTGTACTCAAGGGAGGTAAAATGTCTGACAACTCATTTGGTCTGATACTCCAGCAACACTAACTCTATTTTAATTGTGTTTGTCTTTGTTTTAATGTAACAAAACATAAAAAAATAGAGGAAGAGAAGGGTTATAACTTGGTAAAGACATTCATTACATCAGTATGTAAATGTGAGTTAAAGAAAAGAGTAAAAAGGCTTATAGGTTCACCTACCCCTGCATTTTCAGATGGTTGTGAGCAGAGGAGTGGACTCAATGGTACCTGTGCTAGGCTGGGACAGAACAAGGACATCTGCCCTGCTGTCGGCCTGTGAAGCTGAGCTGACCAAACGTCTCCAGCAGGTTCAGGCTGTGCAATCCATCAGGAGCAACACACACCCGAACAGCAGCCAGGAGAACGAAGAGGAGAGTGCAGAAGCCCCAGCTGAAGGCAGCAACTAGGCTGAGACTTCACCTGAGCAGGGACCGATAAGAATGACACAGCCGGCTTCGGGGTCAGTGGAATGGGATTCCCCATTGTGTTACTGATGATATCCATAATACTGGAATCTATGAATACTAACAATGTTGATTTTTCAACCACTGTGTTCAATGTGAAAACCTTAAGCATCAAGAGGGAACAGGGTGATTACATGTATATCAAAGGCAAGCTCACATTTACTACTTGCAGTAAATTTTTGTAGACTTTTTATTTTTATTTTGATGGAGCCAATAAACCTTTGAAAACAAATACATGTATGAACATAAAATTGTTACAGACAATCATACACATTTAAAACCAAAAACAATTAGGAGAAAGATGATCTGTTTCTGTTTTAGATAACAGTTGAATGAGTCTGCGTCAATTAAGTTTCAATCTGGAGCAAGAGCTTGCTAGTGAAACATAACAATATGCTAGCCTAGCTCTGTCAGGGGTCCAATTCCCACCTGCCAAAGACCTCATATCCTCTAGTGGTCTCATTATCTCCTGGGCAACCTTAAAGGTCTGACTAGACCCCAGGAAGAACAGATAAGTGATAGCCCTGCACATACCCCCATGAAAAATATAACAAAAGATAAGATGTATAGTATTGACATGATGTCTTTATCTTCTGTAGAACTAGGCAAGGTTCAGCTGTGCTCTTTAGTAGACTCAACTTCAGTTAGTTGATGTCCATGAAAGAAATACCCTCCAGCAAATAAGGATGTCACCAGAAAGTGTCATTTTTGCTGATAGGTGTGATTCAAAATGTTTATTTAAAAGCAGCCTCCACGTATTGTTGTTTACATTCTGCTCTGACTGAAAAACTCCAATTTAAGACTGAGTGTGAAGATCACTGTTCTTCATTCAGAAACACCAGATAAAACACAGGCAGGAAAAATACTTTGAGAAACATTGTGGAGCATTAGTATTTGATTAGTGAAAATGGTTAAAGACTGTGAACCAGGAAAATATATTTTTTTACCTTTTCAGAAATCCTTTTTCTCTTGCTGCCATTCATTCAGAAAATGATTCTTACCTGTGTGTTCTTATTTGATCAGCCAAGGTTGATCCTCTCTCTTGTAACGTGCTCCAACTCGTTATCAACCTGAGTAACTCCTGCGAAAAGAGAAAAATCTAATGCTGCTCTGCCAAAGCGTTTCAATTTTTTCAATTAGTTTTAGAAGGTGATTGTAGACTCTTAGTGTCAAGAAATTTATAACTTATAATGGAAATGCCAAAATGTCTTAAAAAAGACAAGTTTCCCTTCAGGGCACTCATATTTGCAGGAATACTCACAGACCCAAGAGAGACATTTCATTTCTATTTTGTACCTGCTTTTTCATGTCTCCACTGGTGTAAAACTCCTTTTCAACCTATTCATGTCAAAAAAAAAACAGCAAAAATTGAGGAAGACATGAAATGTACACAAACAACTGCATGCTGGATCATAATGAGAGTAGATTAAAGCTATCTTTATAAGTCGTCGAGTGTTTGAATGCTACACTAACTCATTGATTATTCTGACAATGAAAAGACAAGACAAACTGTACATCACTTCGACCATGTAAGCCTCACTGAACTCATCATAATGACATTATTGATTAGTATGATTTTGAGAACCAATCACAGATCGTTTGTAGTTCATGGTATTGAAGTTATGTATCATCCCTTTGGCAGTGTGATGTAGGATGGTGTATGTAATGTGTATTTGTCCGTGTGACTCATAGGTCATGTAGGAAATGGCCTGTTACATGCCTGTCATCAGGCAGAACAGTTTGCACGAATGAGCAGATTGAAATTTTGTCGAAGGATCATATTTTTGTATTTGGATGACAATGACAAGTTGCTATCAGCTTGTGCTCAGGTATTAGATATCCAGCAAACTGGGGTATTCATCAAGATTTCTTCTGTGCAAGGTATCATGATGACAAAAATTTTACACTTCAAGGTGTCACACCGTTTCACAACAAGGAACCTGTTGTGGAGTCTGCTGTTTTACAACCCACTGGAAATGCCTGGACAGTTTTTACATTGTACATTTCTTTCAAACAAATGTCAAGTCACACATGACTTTACAGTGTGTGGTTTAAGGTACAGATTTTGAAAATGTTGTATGGTGGTATAAGGGATTCTCTTAATTAAACTGTTCATCAGACAGTCAAAGCTGCTGTTGTTCTCACCTTTTTTAATCACAGTAAAGCAAATGGATATGTTTGAACAAGAAATATCCTTCTTTATCTGAAAATCCAAATGAATAACTCATCAAAAATCTGTGGGATCTATGGAAAATGTAGGAAAGAGGCAGTGTGCAGTGAATCACCATGCTGACACCTACCCTGCAGCCTGGGTTTCAGACGTTAAAAATCACTACATAAGAATAATCAATCTTCCTGCTGATGGTTTGTTTGATTTTGTTGGCCCTACAGGAGCAGGATGTTTCATAACCAGCTCAGAACTTCTTACATAAGCTTTTACAATCATTAAATGCACAAAGAATTGATCTCATACATTTATGACACATTTATTACAATTTTTCTTGTTTTGGCTCATTTTTTTGGAAACAGTTTAGTGGTACATCAAAACTGGAGACACACAATATTTCATTAACTGATCAGGACCAAATTTTTTCTGTCAGTTGCATCAGCCAGTGCCACCAAAATAAATAAATAAATAAAAATACAGAAAAACTGCGACAGTATATATTTTTGGAAATATAGTTTTCCTTTCCAGTAGGTTACATGACACTATAATTTCTCACCTGCATAGACACGTAAATGTTTCCCCTTGTGATCCCCTGGAGAAAGAAACTCATGGTGTAGGGCCCCCATCATCTGCTTTGGTAACTCGGTTACACAATCTTAGCATTCAAACAGAATCATCTCGTCCTGCAGTCAGAGGTCAATTACTTCTTCAATCCCTGAGCTTAAAAGCACCAGCTATATGTCTATGCTTTTAGATGTGATTGTGTTTGGTTGGTTGTGATTTCTCGTCCATTACACAAGCCAATTTACTGTGGCAGAAATCACAAACACTTCGTGATCAGTTTGATAGCTTTTAATAATTGAATGGATCATTTTGCATTTGATGTTCAAATTATAGAAGGCTATTTATCAGCGGTGAAGAGATTGACAATTTCTGACCCTCAACCGATAGAGAAGCGATCCATACACAAGTGATTTTTGCGAAGATTTATACAGAACTGTACTTATTTGTTTGCACACAAAACAAATCAATTTGCCATAAAAAATGAGAAACTCATATCTGTTGTAAATAAAAAACTAACTCTCCAGAGATTTGAAATCACTGTTTTGAGATTTAAGCTGGAGAAAATGAGGGAAAAAAAGTAAAATACCTCATGAAAATACAAAGAAATAAATGTAATATATACCTATGGTCATAAAAAAAATTTTTATTGACAGGTTTTCTCCTTGAAAATTTCTTCAAGTACAATCACAGTGCCCAGGGCACATCATTGTCACAGATAGCGATTTTCAGTAAGCCTACTGGCTGCATGCTGTGGATAGATGTCCTCCAACTGTTGCCTAATGGGTTTCATGGCGTGCGTAATTCCTGTGGTATTGTCCAGGCAGTGCTGTTTGAGGTGAGTGGTGTACAGGAGCAGTGGAAGGTACTACCATGTGTCACAGCAGCTGGTGGATTAGATTTCAGTTAAGTGTGAGTGCAGGTTTGCCTTCTAAGCACTAGGTTGCCCTGAGGACTGTCTGAGCATTTCATGCCGTAAACAAACCATATCCCATGTGGTCAGATGGCTTTCTTAGAATGCTTGTCAAGATAGGTTCACAAATGCCAAGGTGGTGCATGGGTCAGTGCACCCCTTGCTTTGCGAAGTTGAAGCCTTTGAAGAAAACAGAAAATAGCAGTTCAACCAAAGGTAATATGATGAGGTTATAAAAAGTTCAGGAGTTCACAGAAAAGTGGCGTGGTGTGATCTCTTTCATGAGACAAGACAAAAAAGTCAAACACTGAGGCAAAAGAAACGTAAATCAACGCAAGTGGCTTTCCTTTTTACATCCAGACGTGCACTTTTGCTCCACTTGAGGGCCACAGATGGAAGAAATGTTAATGAGGAAATGCAAAAGTGTCAAATGAGAGGCAATTTTGTGCAACTGAAGAACCACATAATGACTGTTTAGATAGAGAAGTGGAGCTGGAGCTGCTGAGAACAAGCTGCATAATGTATGAGGGTTAAACGACAAGCATTCACTGCCTCTGAGGCCAGACGACTGACTCACAAACTACTTTATCGAATTAGTTCACACAGACTGCCAGCCCTTTTAGTCCACTGTGAAAGAAAAAACAGCTGCAGAACTTTAAAAATTATTTTAAATTAAAATATCTCTGTGAGCACAAATGGTTATATTCACACTTTTTTTATTAAAGGAGACCTATTATGCTGATTTGTATTTTTATACACATACAAAATGTTGGATCTCTGTGCTGTGGATTTCAGCAATGTTTAATAAGTTTGCAACTCTTGGTCCAAACCATAGACTGTATATAGAATGGACGCTGTCTGCCTCCTCACTGGGTGAAGCCACCCTGAGAACAGCACCCGCTGGTGACGGGCTGCAGTATAGGTCATAAATCCTGCCTCCTCCAGTATTCCCTATAGAGCTGTGGACAAACTTTAGAAATTAATCACACAGAATATAAATTTTTCTCCCCGCTGGTTGCGATGTTGACATGTAGTTACTTTAAGACTGGTTTGTGCTCAAGTCCTCTTTTTCCTGTGCAGCTCCATTTTTAAAAGTTATAAGGGGGTTCATGTTTTCTATGTTTGACACTTAATACAGGCTATGGGTGTACGAAGATTACGTAGCTCACCCAGGGGATACGTTGTTTGAGCCGAGCGTCATCACAGCGACTCGCCGGCCAAATGCGTACAATGCTCCTGTGCAATGTTGAAATACCAACAGCAATTTGTGTCAAATTCTAATAATGATGGAACACGGAGACAAGTTGTCCATAGTATATACAGTCTATGGTCCAAACCTGATGTCAGGCTCTGCTTATTAGGATAATGATGAAGGACACACTCACCTGCAAGCTCTTTAAAATTTCATTCACCTGAAAAGCCCATTTTAACAAACCCACTTTCTTTCACTGTGATTCAGTGTGTTTCTGAAAGTTGCTTATACAGGGTCTTGTGGAAATGAATTTTTGTTTGTTTGTGTTTTTGTTTTTGTTTAAAGACAACAACAACCACAACATAGCTTTTGTGCTAATCACTTCACTGATAAGGCTTGTTATGTAGCAGCCATATGGCAGCCCATCAGTTTTTGACTAATTCCAGTCACACACTACTAGGCGCAGCCCAGCAACGCTTTGCACTTTGGCATGTGCACAGCATGTTTTTTAACCCCCCACCACCTTCTGACTAGGAGGTGACCAACTCTACCACTGAGCCACAGCTACCTCATAATAATAGCTGATAATATAACAAGTGTCAATGCTAAGCTGTCATGAGGAGCTAACATATACATCTTTGAATATACTATGAAGGCATAACTTTTGGTTCTCTTACAGCAAAAATGCTGTGTGAAAAGTAACACCCAGGCTGTGTCTACCTTTAAATCAAAGCCTCTAAAACCTAATGTTTCAGGCAGAGGCTGAAGAGTTCTGAAATGAAAGTGTTGGATGCCAAGGTGAATAAGTCTTTTTATTAGCTAAAAATCATGCAAAGGTACTCTATGGGTAGCTCAGACTGCTGCAATCTATAATTGAAAGTATCCCATTTGCTCTGCCTTTATTTGCACAAGTAAATAGTTTCTGCAGCATCTCAAAAACAAACAATAAAAAACAAAAATGAATCATGTCAATAAAAAATCATTTATCTTTGTATAAATTGTTTCAAAATGTCATACCGAGATAACTCAAGTTACTTTTATTATCACAAAGAGCTGGTTCCAGTCCTTGTACTTGTGTACTTGATCTTCCATCCCTTGTTTTTCCCGCTGGTGTCTGATCTGAAGGCCAAATGAACCTGGTAACTTCCTGTGTCAATACGACCGGGTGTCATCGATCCACAGTATGGTCCGTACTCCTGCCCTGCTGTTGAAATCTTAACAAAAAGAAACAACACATAAGGAACCGAGGTGATGATTTACTTAATACCTGACTGATTTATGCCCAGACAAACGGACATATGCAGGGCGCGGCAGGGCCAAACAGTTAATCACTTGAGCTGGACAAGTGGGAGACAAACTGCCTCCACAAGCATGAGCAGGAATACATTGCTTTGTCCCCTTCCTGTGTTTATGCATGTTGTGGTCTGCAACCACATGACTAACCTTAAGCATATCATATGGACACGGGGCAGCTGGGTGTCCCTCAATGTCAAAAGGTTCCAGGAAGTCCAAAACTATTCTGTAGCCCTCTGGCAGACGGATGGTGTGGTCGCACTCACTCATGGGTGGGTAAGGATTCGGGTAGCCTGGACTGGTCAGAACGCCTGACAGTGATGTCAACACCTGGTTCTGGCATGGCACTATTGGAAAGACACACAAACACATGAATGAACATATTATGATCCTATTTGAAGAAAGGTTATGTAAGATTTGTTATGAGAAAGTTTTAAAATCTAATGGAATAGCTTTTCATTTCTATTGACACATTTCCTGGAATCATAAACAACATGATTAATTTTGGTTTGCATTTCTGTCGTGGCAAATGTGCAGATGTTGTTCCAGATCAAAACAAATGAGTATTACAAAGAGGTTGAGTCGCTGTAATTCATATAATTAGTACAATCTGTAGGCAGATAATCATTTGTGCCTTTTCATTTCACGATTTGTTTTGTCACCCTTTTTTCCTCTGGCAAAGTCTAATAATTTAAGGCACATCAACTGTTAATTGTGATTAATTACCCTGTGTCAGAACACTGTTAGTGCTGCACGCAGGTATCAATTTATTATGTCATTTTTGAAGTTGCTTTTCCCTCAGGAATCGACAGTAATTAACCCTGCCTTACTCCAGCTGGCAGAGATCAACTACTTCCTGCATCAGTATGGCTTTTCAGTCTGAAATTAGTCAGCACAAGCCAGCCATGATAGAATGAAATCCAATCTACAGCACATTCAACTTTGTGCCCAGCCAGAAATGTCGGGAAGTAGTTTTTTGAAGATTTGTTCTGCAGAGCTGTGAAGTACGGAGAACACTTTGAAAGACGAATGCCCTTTTGTTCTATTAACAATGTTGTCGTTACAAGTTTACAACCCCGCACTTTAATCTCCTTTTCATCCAACTTGGTGACAAGGTCCGACAAAGCAGTTTCTTATTGTTTTTTTCTTTTTTAAACACCAACCAAACCTCGCATGACACTCAGAGAAAGATGTGACTGCTATGATGGTAAATCATCAAAAACATGCTTTGATATTAAAATGTCAAGAAAAAAAATCCCCCCATCAAAGAGAGCGGAACAAGTGCTCATCAATAATGTCTCACTTAGTTTTCCCCAGCATCTGTTGTGTCTGAGGAACTTAGCTGCAGTTTAGTCTGTGACATACCATACCCAATGAGCATTTTTTGGTCTAAATGAGGTCTAATAGACGTCTAAAAGTAGCCTAGATGGCTTGTCTAAAATCAGGCTACCACAGGTCTAAAAATGGGTTTTTCAGAGTTTTTTAGACGTCTAAATTTTAGACCAAGTCTAAATCCGAGCTATATCTATACTACACTGTATATTGCTTAATGGCTATCATAATTATTTTGGTTAAGCACTTGGAGATCAGTTATGCAACTCACAGTTGCTTTTTGAAATAAAAAGTTATTGAGTAATGGGTTAAAGTGCAACGTCTAAATTCCGTCTACAAATATACAGAATCTAGATGGTTGAAATTAGGTCTTAAAAGAAACTAACTCTAATAGCCATCTATTGCTCAGTGGGTATCTATGGAGACCTTCATACACACTCAAGCTTTTACACAATCTTTGACTTACAGTGATGAGTATGCCTCTGAAGCTTTGTCTGTTTGGCACTAACCTGTGCAGGATCTGTTGTTGTCATGAAGGAGGAATCCCCGTTTGCAGGTGCAGTAAAATCCACCAATGTAATTGTGACAGAAGTGATCACAAATATTCTCCCCATCTAATTTGGTGAGGCACTCGTTGATATCTATCACAGAGCATAAGATTAGAGAGGGAAACACAAACCAATGCTCTTTTTACATTAACTAAAAACAAAAAAGGTTGGGTGAATTTTCTTAATAAAATGTAATAAATAAAAAAAGGAAACATATGGGATTTTATTCAGTTATTTCTCTGCATTAATCGCAAGTTTCGCAAACTAACCTAGTTTTTCTCAACACTTGGGACACAAAAATGTGCCATCAGTTGACAGAAAATAAACAATGAGTCAAACAATTAGGATCAGGGCTGTCAGCAGTAATATGATATTAAGGTTTTGAAACTGATATGTTTTTGTTTTTCATGAAGGCACTTTGAGGAGATTTTAACTAGTTGAGAAACAGTCTAAATCTGGAACTGAGGCCTTTTTATGACCTTCAAAAGCAAACAAGACTATCAGCTACAAGACTAATATTTTCTAGTCTCAGCAAACTAAAGAAACAGCTTTTTCTTTTTCCATGAAAACCGCTCTGTGTGGCTATTGTGTCCCCTTTGGCAAATGGTATAATGATGAGGTGTAATTAAACCTAACATTATGCAACATATGTAAACTGGTGGCACAACTTTTAGTGTATGCACAATACACACACATACACACACAAAAACAGTTGCAGGTTGAGGTGACGGCATCAGTTTCCAAAACTATTGTTTTTGCTGTCAGTACGAATACATACATAACAGTTTTGAGCAACCTTCCTCTTGAAAGGCATTTTCAAAGATATACCAGTGACCCAAAACTGAAGACAGGAAAACTGTTTTCACAACACCTATGTACGTGTAGATAGGGTCTAAATAGGCTTGCAACAGTGTAGTAGACAACTGTACCAAATCAAATCAAACAAAACCAATTTCACCTGTATTTTGAATGTTAATTCAACAAAAGAGTCAAATTCAACTCAAAATTAAAAACTAAACAGAAAATATTCCAACTCACTTAGCCTCTTCGTCAAAAAATCTCATTCTGCTGACAGCTGAAAGTCAAATGTATCATAGATTGTGAATACTTGAAGCGGTTTTTGTATCATTAGTCTTTTTCTTTGATTGACGCCTACTCCCCGCACCAGTTTCAGGCAGTTTGCTTTTGGATATCATGTAAAGGCATCAATTTGAATTTTATTCAATTTAATAAATGTCAGAAAACTGCTCATAAGAGCTTTAAAACACTGTTATTATCTTTGTTTGTATTATTACCCTGTCTTTTCTTATCAGACACAGCTAAGCGGTGATAAAACTCCATCACTTGCTTGCTGCATGTTGTTATTACAGCAGCAAAAAACGGGTCTTCCCTTCATCAGTGTGTGTCACTCTTCTGCATTACCTTCTGATGTGTAAAATGCCTGGAAGCCGGTAAATCGGCCCTCATTTGAGTAGTCGCTCCTAAAGATGACTGACATGAGGTTCCTGGCTGACAGGATGACCGTGTTCCCCGGGCTGCTTTCATAGTTCTTCTCCTCCTCACCACAGAACCGCAAAGTTTCATTCCCCTCTGCCAGAACCTGGTTTGAAAGGTCAAAGGTCTTTGAGTGAGCAGGGTTAGACTTCAACAGACTCTGTTCAACTGAAGTGCAGTGTGTACCTGAACATAGTCATATTCACAGTGGTTTGAGGGCTCCATGCTAAAGTGCCTGAAGTACAACTTAACCCTGTGGCCATCAGGGACAGTGATGTTCCACACTATGTGCTGGTTGTCAGGGTAAGGCTGGGGGAAATTGGGGGAGGTGAAGCTGCCATATAATCCTGTCATTTCCACACTCAACGAGATGTGGAGGAGGGAAAGAAGGACAAAAACACAGCACCCACTGGGCAAAAATGACACATGAGAACAGCAGTTACAAGAAATATTTTCCACAAATAACACTAACAACACTCACCTGGTCATGTCGGAGGAAAAGTCCCCTGATATTCTGCGTGTTTTGGAGTGGTGCACTTTCAGTGCTCAAAGGGTAAATGAACCCAGGTGGCCAGTTCGACATTTGGGTAAACAAAGTGAGACAGGCGCATGATCAGTTTGTCATCATTTCCCCCCTCCAGTGGTCACGGAAATCTATCACACTGGTGAATGCCAAAATCATTTGTATCAATTATTATTCTGTTCACTTCTTTTTTTCAAAATCAGATCTGCTCAAGAAAAGAAAAATATAAATGAAAAATGTGGTTCTACTCTTGAATTAGTATAATACATTTTATTACAAAACACAGAACAGAGAGATTTCGCTTGAATGCCCAAATAATCAAACAAAATTAAAAATACATTACTTTGTCACACAATTACATACAAAAGAATGATCATACTCAGGAGTTTTGAATTATCTAATTTGAATCACATCTAAGTACACAATGAAACCATTTCACAAAGTGATGTTGATCAGACCAGACTCATGCCACTAGTTTTAGCCCAAATTCAAAAAGTGAAGCCCCTGTTTAGAATGTAGTTAAAATCAAATTTGATGATTTGAAAATGATTTAAAACCATATAAAACGCAAAGACAACATATGAAATGTTGAAAATGAAAAATCCAGTACCAAGACTGCTCAATCAGAGCCATGCCAGTGTGGTACAAGCAGAATATGTTTTGGCATTATTACTCTGAAATATGCAGGGTGTTTTCTGAAACAGTCTGGGTGGTGATATATTTTGCTCCAAAACCTGTAAACCTTGTATTTATTATAACATTGATAGTATCCCAGATGTTGCTTCATTTTAAAGATTAAAAGCCAAAGCAGAGATTGCAAAAACACATTAAATACAGACAAATGACATAAAAGCAGAAAAAAAATGACTGAGTAAAGGGAAGTCTAAACCAATGGGTCTTCCACTGCTGTTTGAAACTGTCCACACAGTCCACAGTTCTTAGTTTCAGGTGGTCCCTCTCCTTTACAGAGCGGGAAAAAACTACATCCATGATTTTTCACAGAAAGTCAAATTCAGATTTTTCAGACTGCATCCACAAACTTTTTTCACAGCTCTGTTTTTGAAAGAGTGCTACCTGCTGGTCCTAAGATCGTAGTAATTTATTCTCAGTTTATGGTCATGTTCGCCTTGTGCAGAGGTTTTTCCAGAGTTTCTACATCCTTTGATTAAATTTTGTTACATACATGGGCATAGTTATTACTACATTATTATGTGTGCAGCAAAAAGGGAGACTGTAAATTCCCCATCTTGCACGTTAGCACTCTGAGAGAGGCAGAATTTGAATTTGGCAGTTTATACACAATTATAGACATGTTGCAATGTGTAATTCAGATGTCTGTGAATTAAAAAGGCCTAAGAAAACTCTGTTTCAAAATCTCCATCTGCACAAGCTGTTAAAGCTGTTTACAGCATCTTCATATTAACTGATATTAAAAATCTAAGGTCAGTGATGACATTTCTGAATACCGTTGGCAGAAGTGGACACTTCGAACGTTGCTATGGATCTTTGTTTTAAAATTGTGTAGTATCTGAGCTCACACCTATTCATAATAGTAGCTATATCACTGTCTCTACTGTGTGTCATTCATTTATTCAGTCATATGATACTGCCATACTAATTCTAAATATGTAGGTCCATAGTGTTGTAGATGATGAAATCTCGTATTTTGCAGTTTTACGCTGAGGAACATCATTCTGATAAAACTGTTGAACTATCACTCATTCAGTCTCTCACAGAGTGGTGAACATTTTCTCCTCTTTGCTCTTGAGAGACTCATCCTTTCTCGAATGCTTGTGATAAATTTACATCATGTAATTGATCTGCTGCAAAATACCCAAATTAGTTGGACAATGGCCCTCCATTTTTGTCCACTTTTCCCAGCTTTTTTGACACATATTGACACAAAGCTGAATTGGGCCACGGTTTTAATTAAACAGTAAAAAAATTGATTTCTCCCCTAATGTTTGGGGAGTTGTATTCTAGATCCCATTTTACGATTTTCCCTGGTGAAGCTGTAAAACAAGAGCCTTGAAAAAATATGTGGAATACCCATGTCAGATACCTGTCCTTTTTTGTTGAAGGATAAACAAAGGTGGTTTAGTGGAAGTCAATACTGAAAGACACTTAACCACAAACTAAATGGCTGCACTGATGACACTGCTTGTGAATAAAAGACAAATTGTAATGCACTTTGTAGGGTAGAGAAGACCTGTAAATGCAGTCCATTACCAATAATTGTTCTATCAGGGTCATAAAACAGTCAGGGGCGCATTATCAGCAGTTTCCCACAGAATGAATCCCCTTTTATATTCTGCGTGTATTTTTACATGTCTGGGTCTGTGCTCTACCAATCATTTTAGGGTCAGATCTCAGTGTAAATGCTTTTATATTAGAGGGGATTGCAAATACTCATGACGTCTATTTTGACAGAACATGGATATTGATGTCATTCAGAAGTGATAGGGCCTTTCAACCAGCAACAGCTACACAATAGGTAAGCTCATCATGGCCAAACCCCTTTATCACCAAACACTAAAGCACTAATGGCTCGTATTTCAAGTGAATAACAATAATTAGCCACATAAACATTAATGCTTTGCAAATGACCTCTCTGATGGTGTTCTTTTTAAATGGTGCTAGTGGGACATTGAGCTGGAGCAGATTCATCTCCGCATTTGATAACAGATGTTCTCCTGTTGGACTCTCTCCACCTGCCACTCAGGCTCTCATGCGCCAACCGAAGCGACAGCCTTGGGCGCCAATCAAAGCACTCCTGGATGATCTACCTTTGTCATTAAATATATTTTCAATGATGACTGTTGTGTTTATGTTCTCTGTGTCGATCAGAGCCAATGTCCTATCTCAGTAGCCTTTGGGGAGAAATAAGGTGAAAATATAGAGCTGGCATTTTTGTTAGGCTTAACCTCCAGAGAGCTGCATCCCCACTTACGACACTTAAAACCTCCCGACAATCTCCTAGCTATTTGACCTCAAGCATATTTTGCACAAATGCTTTAAAATTATCAAGCTGCTTTTTGGTACAGAGTGATCTTCAGAGTCCCAAAGGGAATATGAGCTGTTTTTTTAAGAAAATTGCAGCCTGTTCTAACCTTTTGACCACATCTTAAAACATATTGTAGCTTCAGTCTGGAAAAATAATTGTAACCTGCACTGATGTAGTTTTCACCTCCTTGTATATGCAAGAAGAAATTTGTTGCATGATGAACACTGCAGCCTCTAGGGATTTTTCAGACATGTGTTGTAGGATGTATTTTATAAAAATAAAATTGCAATACCCTGATCATGTTTTTTATTGCTACATGACAAAATCTTACTATTGCCTCTGTATTTAACTACTTTTCTCCTTTTAAACTACTTTTTTCAAGATAAACTCATTTTGACTCATCTACATTAAATATTGTTTACTTTAAATGCATCTCCCTGTTAAGAAGTTCAAATAAGTCAGATACATTGGAGGCAAATGTTATGTCTGAATGTAGCTTTTCTTTCTTAGGGCAAAAGACTTTGGTCTCCAGTTGGCTTTTCCATGACCTTTGACATAAATGGAGCAACAAGCTAGTTAGGGCAGGAAACTGGAGCTTTATGATTTCACATGTAACATGCATCATTCTGACAGTCACCTCAAAAAAGTACTCTCTCAGTTTGGAGGTTTATTCAAGCCACAATATATCCAGTCACTCACTTTGCCACTGTGCCTGTTAGCCTGCACCTGTGCTATGCTTAAACTCTTAGCCCAACACTTCCCAAGCATCCACCTGCAGGCTTTGGTGAGAGGATTCTAGATATCACTTCATCTATCCTCGGTTTCCTGTATGTTTAAAACTGAGGAAGGATGGGATCTGAGCCCTTATGCCAGATACAATGTCTCCTGCTGCAATGCAATTTCAACTCATAAATGTGTGTTGAAATTCTTTATTGGGAATAACCCCTTGAGATGTACCATCTCGTTTTCGAGGGGATCCTCAAATACAGATACGTAAAAATACATATCCATGGAAAACAAGACAAAGCAAATAATAAAAAAACAAAATAAACAAAGCAATAACAAATAACTGACACAAAAGAGAAAGTAAAGAATAAACAGATGACAACAACCAAAAAGTAACACAAACAACAAAACACAAAGCACATATATGAAAGGAAAAAAAAATTGCATCAAAGATCTGATATACTGTAATTAGTGAAAGCATGAACAAGTGATCTCCAGATGAGAGGACAGCGCGGTTTTGAATAGTTGAAATGAGGTTATTGATCGAATCTGAACAGGTAGATTGTTCCAATCAGTGGGAGCTTTGCGCCTAAAAGATTTTTTGCCAACAGAGTTAGATACATTTGTTGGAACTTTAAAATAAATCTGTGCACAATGACGAAGATGATGATTAGATGTGAAGGGGACCATATACTGCTTAAGATATTGTGGGTAATTAAAATGAATACATTTGAAGATGTACTGAAACCAGTGCTGCTGTCGTCTAGCTAAAGGAGATAGAAAGTCCAGGTCGTCATACAAGGTGCAATGATTGGTCAAGTAAGAACAGCCAAGAACAAATCTGCATAAGCAGTTGAAAAGTGTGTTAAGCGGAAGAAGGTTGGTCTTGGGTGCAGTTTGATATACTACATCAGTGTAGTCCATGATGGGTAAAATGAGCTGGAGAACAAATTTCTTTCTGTTGCGATATAAAACACCAGTACTAAAATTGATTTTCTGGACAATGTTATCTATGTGACACTTGAATGGAAGTTCTGAGTCTAGCCAAGCCAAGTTGAGTGAGATTCAAGATCCAAGATTCAAGCTGAGTGAAATTTGATTGCAGTTTTGATTGAATTAGTGGTATGGTAGTTTGAGATGTGTATATTATTGTGTCATTGGCATAGAGTTGAACATTACAACCGGAAAAAATATAAGGGAGATCATTGATAAAAATAGAAAATAAGAGTGGGCCTAAAGTTGAGCCTTCAGACACCCCTTATTCCTGTACTACTAAGTCCGATTTCGTGTCCTGAATAACAACACAATGTTTTCTATTGTGCAGATAAGAATTAAACCAAAGTAGGGC